TTGCAAGAATATTGAATGAGACTTCAAAGACGACTGTACAGATTTTACTCAAACACTTGCAACACATTTGTTCAAACTATTGGCCTTGTAAAATTAGTTAAAAAGAACGTGGGAAAATTTTTAAAATAATATTTTTTTTATTATGACAAATATTAACATGTGACACATTACTCCCATTTTTCAAGGGCTTTTTAAATATTTAAATATTAGTCTTAAAGCTTAATAATAAAAAATTCATTGATCATTTCTGATCTTTTTAAAACACCGACCCACTGTTTGACTGTTTGACCCTATGCGTCAAAAAAAAAAAAAAAAAACTTTGCAAAATTTCTTCATAACTATGATGTTGAAAAAATCTAATGTGAGCCGTTAAAAGTTATTTAAAAAAATAATAGGGTGGTGGAGAACTCCTGAAAACTTGAAAATTCTGAATGTTTAGAAAACTGAATGAAACTGTGTCCAACCATTTAAGCAAAAGCAACTAAAACTGTTTTCGTAGGTTTTAATATTGCCAAAAAACTACACCTGTTAGAATTTCATGCTTTTCTGTTTCAATTGCATAAAAAAGAACACGCTCATCTCTTGTGCCCGCCCTAAACATACATTGCCGTGTCTCATGTTCATTGAACTATTTAGAGTCATAATTTAGGTCTAAAAGTCGTCATCCTATGCCAGAGTTTTCTGGTTCTCACTCTATTTGTATACTTTGCTCCTCTGTTTGTTTGTCCGTTTGTATTCAATAAACGTCCAAACAGCTGAACCGACCGAGCCCAACATTTGTGAGGCAACTCACATGGCCCAAGGGAAAGTTTAAAATTAGTTAAAAAATTATGCGGTAAAAAACTTCAAAATTTATTATTTTTTGATGAAATACGGAGGGGGAGGTTGGGGGGGGGGCATAAGCCTATCCGATGACCCTCTTGAAAAATATAAAAACTAATTTGTCAAAAAATATTGTGGGGAAAGTGAAAACTTTAAGTTCTGTAAATTAGTCATGATGAACTATAGTGAAATATTTGTGAATATATAATTTGTAAATATATAAATGCGTATTTAATAACTAATAAGTTTTAACTTTTAATGTTTTAACATTGCTTTCTATGTCTAATAGTGTGTTAAAATTTCCGGTTTACAAAATGGAAACTGGAAATTTTACGGTTTACGTTACGTAAACCGGAAAAAAATCCGGTTTACGAAATGGAAACTGGAAATTTTACGGTTTACGTTACTTAAACCCGAAAAATTTCCGGTTCACGAAATGGAAACTGGAAATTTTACGGTTTACGTTACGTAAACCGGAAAAAATTCCGGTTTACGAAATGGAAACTGGAAATTTTACGGTTTCATTCCGTAAACCGGAAAAATTTTCGCTTTACGTAACGTAAACCGTAAACATTCCGGTTTCCATTTGATCCGGAATTATCCCGGTATTCCGGTTTACGCAACAAATTTCCGGATTTCAAAAATGGAATTTTTTTCCGGAAAAATGGAAGCCCTACTTTTAAATTATAGTTTAGTTGATAAAAACGTTCTTTCAATTTTGAAATTGAAAAAATAATTAGATCCAGTGAAAACTAGATTTTTTGTTGCTGCTTATCTTTCTCTGAGCATGAACCCTAAATGTTGAATATATTATATAAAGAGAGTACTTTGTTATCATTCATGGCGTGATGACAATTTATCATATTAGAGCTAGCGAATATTGTTAATGACCCTTTGGCTGACGTAGTGAATATTTAGTTTGCTAATTCTTAAAGGTTTTTGCAAGGAATTTTGCAATGTGCATAAACACTTTTTACAACTAAATGAAAGGGACTGTAAGCACAATTTCAAGTGACTCTCCATGCAAAGATGGCAGCGCCCGATTAACAACGGTACCCTTGAAACCTTAATCAGATCAAAAATGGGAAAGATACTGTCGTTTTTCGGTCTCAAAAGGTGTTTATTACTTTGAGTTTCTCTATTGCTTCTAATAAGCAATAAATGCGCAAAAGAAACCCCATAGCTTTGTGTAGATAAATACATACTTAGACCTACCATTGTTCGGTAGAGAGAATAGAGTTTGAGAGAGTTGTATTTGGATTGATACACACTTAAACAACTATTGGAGTAAGACATGTGTTACAACGCAGCAAGTGCATTTAAGTCTAGGGTTGTTAATCGTTTTTGAAAACGATCGTTAAATGATTGTGTAATGATCGCTGCATGCACGGATGGGCATAGTTTTGAGATTCATTTTTAAACATTCGAGATGTTAAACTTTTCAGAGGCTTGAAAAGAATTAGAAAAGAATCCTTTTCTAAAATTGTGTGAAAAATATTGTCACTGACTAAAGATATTATTTAAAAATGTTGCAACACAGTAAAAATTAGGAAGGAATACTTAAACAATGCCTGGCTAATTAAATTTCTTTTCATTCTTTTTATTCTTAACCTTTAGTTCATGAAGTTAGATTTGATGAATATCGAAATCAATTGAACATTTTAAGAAGAAATGGTTAAACTAAAGTTAAATTTAGGCTTGGTAGCGTTTTTATAGGGTTGCGTTATTATAGGGTAGCGTTTTTATAGGGTAGCGTTTTTACACTGTAGCTTTTTTATACTGTAGCGTTTTTATACTGTAGCGTTTTTATAGGGTAGCGATTGTATAGATACACCGATTGTACAGGGTTACCCACAAAGGATGAGACTTCAGAGATGATTGTACGAAATTTTCGCAGTCTGTTTTTCCATATTTTTGACTCAGTTGGCAACAAAAAACCTTATTTCTTTCTTTGCTAAATCATAAAATAACTTTATTAAAAGTAGAAGACTAAGTTCGTCATAATTACAGAGTTTTAGGTCTTCTTTACAGTCTCATCCTTTGTGGGTAACTCTGTGTAGTAAAAACAAAATCAATTACGATAGTGTTAATAATAAGAAGAATACTAATAATTAAATTTCATAATAATTAACACCCTGTAATAAGAAGAGAGTTTTCGAAAGGTTGCCGCACAGCGCATTGCTAGCACGGACTTTGACTTGCCTCAGCGAGAATAATTTCTTTATGTGGGCTAAAAACTTATTGAAATTACTGAAATATTTGTATTTATTAATATATAAAAGAATCAAATCTTTTTTTTGCATGTAATATCTATTTACATAATGGAATTTTAGAGAGAGATGTAAATAAGTAGAATTAATGATATTAGAAGTCCCGTATATTAAACACAATATGCCATGATTCAGTTGAGACCTCTATGCGCTGAAAATATCAAATAAAAAGTGTTCTTGCTTCCCCGGCAAATTAGCGTACAGGCCAGGGAATAAGAATAAAGGGAAAGGAAATGACATTGGTCTGGCATGAGATAGCCAGGTACACTGCTTTGCAGACAGGTTCTTTATCTCACACGCACACTTTTTTGTTACAGACACACAACATAACAATTCAGTCAAGGAAATTGTGTAGAAAATGTCGTCAATTATAATGAAGCTTGAAATTAAAACAAGTAGTTTATTGTACACTATAAATTCTTTGATTCTATGATAATTTGGCTTATACTGTTGACTTAAATATATAAATAATATATTACAAATGTATATTAAACTTATTTCTAAGTAAAAAATTAACAATAAACAAATGTACTCTCCTATACCGTACAAATGCCGACATTCTTCTGTACTGTATATACCTACAGTCACGCCTTTGGTTCGTTATCACTTACACACACTCTTTTGGTACAGACACAAACACATGACGTTTCCGCCCCCTGTCACAGTTATACAGAGCGTCCCATATCAATTTAGATTATCTCCAAGATTTAACGCCAAAATGAAACCATAATACTCGAAAAACTAATGTTTTCTGCAAGAGTTCTTATAATCACTTTTTATTTTTTTCATGAATCTCACTACCTTAGAATTTGACACTTTATACTTTTATTTTATAAAACTGGGGCATTTTATACCTACAGGGGCTCATGTGAGTACCACAAAAGTATAAAGCAAAATCGGTTCAACCGCGGATACAAATAAACAAAGAAACACAAAGACAACCCAAAATTAGTATACATACAAAGACATGTCAACAATCTATTACAATTACAGATTACAAAAGCAAAACAACAATAATAATAATAATCATGAAATTAATGATAACAATAATAATAATAAATTACCTGAATTTTTATCTAATCTGTAAGGTCTAGGAACTCTTTCAATCGCATAATCTATCCAGGATACGAGAAAAAGAAAAAAAATTTAGCTAGTTGCTAACTGAATTTCACAGTGTACAGTGCTCTGTGTTAACAGCTGACTAAACTATAGTCCAAATACCATAATTAAGTATCAGGAATAATTCCTTCCCCCTAAATAGTTTAAGCCGCCCCTGCTCATTCATAAGCACACCCTCAGACAGACAGACAGTCGGTGTCTGATTTTCTCGGTGTAAAGAGCCCTGCAAGCACTCAGCACTGCAAGGGAGGTCCAGTGGTGATATGAAGTTGCGTAAACCAGTTTCCTCATATAACAAGTCTTCATAACAATTTGAGAATATAAATACAAATAGCTATACCCGCTTAGTACTCAACTCAACCTTTAATTTAAATCTTAAACAGAATATGTAAAGCATTCAAATCAGTGTGAATAAAAAAGAAAGAGCACAACATTTTAACCTAACATTATGTATGGTAAAAATGTGAATTCGTTCAGTTTTGAATTAAAAATATAAACTTGAAGAAAACTTATTATGAAGGTTTTCAAATAGGTGAAATTTTAAGTGACTATAGGTGCAAATATTGCAACGCCCGATGCACAACGGTACCCTTAAATTCTTTATCTGATCAACAATGTGGAAGAAATTGTGGTTTTTTCTAGGTTTAACAGAGCTTAATTCTTATAATTCCTTTATCTGTTCTGAAGTAGAAATAAGCAAGTCACTTTTATAGAGAAACCACAATTGAAAATAATAAGTTTTCAAAAATAAAAACATTTAGATCTAACGTTTATATCTAATGCAAACTAGATCAGAAAAACATTTGATTGGAACCATTGGAACCGTTTCTTGGAGCCTCTTGAAATACCGGTTACAGGCCCTTAACACGTTTTTTTCAGACTGCTGTCAAGCAGTTCTGGTTGTGAAGAGAATACTCTTTAAAATGGAAACAATAAAAGATATGTTCCGGTTCCTAAACAACCCGCATCATGTTTGGAAATTTCAACAATTTTTTGGACTTAGAAAGGTAAATTTCTCTTTGTTAAAAAAATTATGTAGTGCTATGATTATGATTAAATCGTACAAAAAAGTATTTATACGAGTACACCTATACTTAAACACTACAGTACATATAAGCCATTAAAGACAACTCTTACTAGATGATGAACACTTTCAGTATATTTGTGTAACTAGGTTAGTGAGGTTAAAACTTCAGAAGAGGGACATTGGGTTGCACTAGATTCTAGGTACATTTCTCATATCTACCTACCTACATATATATTCACACCAACCTACCTACCTACCTACCTACCTACCTACCTACCTACCTACCTACCTACCTACCTACCTACCTACCTACCTACCTACCTACCTACCTACCTACCTACCTACCTACCTACCTACCTACCTACCTACCTACCTACCTACCTACCTACCTACCTACCTACCTACCTACCTACCTACCTACCTACCTACCTACCTACCTACCTACCTACCTACCTACCTACCTACCTACCTACCTACCTACCTACCTACCTACCTACCTACCTACCTACCTACCTACCTACCTACCTACCTACCTACCTACCTACCTACCTACCTACCTACCTACCTACCTACCTACCTANTTATGAACACTCCCTTTAACTCCATATCATGAACACTCCCTTTAACTCTATCCAACCAATATATCTACCTAGGTCTATACCCCGACCTCTACCCGAAAGAGTACGTATACCTACCCAGCCTACCATAACTCAGAGTAGTTTTGAAAGTGAGTATATTTTACGAGTTTCTTATTTAAAGGGTTGTCGGCGTAGTTTCAAGGGATTCTTTATTTTAATATTTGCAAACTTGATTCACAACGGTACCCTTTAAAAATACATATATGTGTAAAAATTTGGTGCTATCATCGATTTTTTTTAATTAAAAAGAAGTAAATTTTGCCATTTTCCTTCATGTCTCTGCTGCATACCTCTACCCGAAAGAGTACGTATACCTACCCAGCCTACCATAACTCAGAGTAGTTTTGAAAGTGAGTATATTTTACGATTTTCTTTTTTAGAAGGGTTGTCGGCGTAGTTTAATTTTAATATTTGCAAACTTGATTCACAACGGTACCCTTTTAAAATACATATATTTGTAAAAAATTTAGTGTTATCATCGATTTTTTAAAATTAAAAAGAAGTAAATTTTGCCATTTTCCTTCATGTCTCGGCTGCATAAATCTCGTCAATTTTTAAAGAATTTTACAATTAACAGTTTACAAGGTTAAAAATGAAACTGACGTTGTGAATTAACTAGCTCCAAAACATTTTAAAAGGAGGAGCACTTAAAATTACGATCACATTGATTTTCAATTCTTATTCTTCCTATTCATTTTGGGGACCACCTTAGTTAAAATTTACTTTATTTTAAAAACAGGAGAGTACAGAATAAACCAGAGAGTGAGAGCAGTCAGAAGACAGCAGAGTAATGAGGTATAAGCAGAATCAGAGATTGCTACNCAATAATTATGAACGATTCCCTAAAATACAAGAATTAAGAACGATCCCCCTAAAATACAAGAATTATGAACGATCCCCCTAAAATACAAGAATTATGAACGCTCCACTAAAATATCCCGTAAAATACTAAAAGTATCCCTGTTAAGGATGATGAGAGTAGGTGTTCCTCTGGATATTCATCAGAGGGAGAACCCGAGGAATCTGCCAGCGTATTGTATTACAAGGTATATTTTTGGGAACAATCTCTTAGATGTTTAAGCTCGGTTTTAATTCTAGTTTAAAAAGTCCCCTTTATTTCAAACTTGATGTAGCAGATCTTAGATTGTTTCAATTTATGAATGATAGATCAAATGTATAGTCTGAACTCTTAGTTTGTGATATCAAAGATATTCACCATCAGGTTGTGCAACAATATTAGGAAATTAGGGATTTTTTGTTTCTTTGCAACTGTTTTAGTTGTTTTCAAGTCTCAGTTAATGGATTGATTAGAGATTCATTAAATCCTACTTTTGTTTAAATAATTCGATTTACCATGCAATTTTTTAAAGGAACTGTCTTATTTTTAGATTAGGAGCTTTTTTGAATAACCTATTCTAAGTTTTAGATTGGGAGATATTTTTGGTGCACCATGTTCTAAATTTTTAGATTGGGGGCTATTTTTGGTGCACCATGTTCTAATTTTTTGATTGGTACCTATTTTTGGTACACCATTAGCTCTAATTTTTAGATTGGGAGCTATTTTTGGTGCACCATGTTCTAATTTTTAAATTGGGAGCTTTTTTTGGTGCACCACGTTCTAATTTTTAGATTGGGAGCAATTTTTGGTACACCATGTTCTAGTTTTTAGATTGGGAGCAATTTTGTTGTACACCATATGTTCTAATTTTTAGATTAGGAGCTATTTTTGGTCCAAACTTTTTAATTTTCAGATTGGGAGCGATAAGTGGTACACCATGTTCTAATTTTAAGATTGGGAGCTATTTTTGGTGCAAACTTTTCTAATTTTCAGATTGGGAGCTATTTTTGGTATAACCTATTTCAAGCTGCCTCCGGGCTTGGAGACGAAACTTTCTGTGCTCCAGTTTTTATTTTTATCATTCTTAATTTAGGTAAATATTTCTTCATATTTATATTTCATGAAATTTATATTTCGTCACATTTATATTTATTGTTTAGAGGGACTGCACAAGTAATTTCATTCAAAAAGTAGAATGTCCGATTGTGTCTTAAATCCATATCATGAACACTCCCTTTAACTCCATATCATGAACACTCCCTTTAACTCCATACCATGAATACTTCCTTTTACTCCATATCATGAACACTCCCTTCAACTCCATACCNAACGATATCTTAGTTTCACTAACATGTTCAAATTCAAACAATCCTTTATTGGCTCCGCTACATAAATCCGTAATTTACTCTCACAGAGAAACCATAATTGAAATTTTCTTATTTCAACTGGATAAATAAGGATATCTCCGTGATTCTTACTTGGTGAAATAAACTTATACGGTGTACCTTTGTGATTTAGACATGCCATTCTAAAAATGAAGGGTCACCGAAAACTACGTGTACAGTCCATGATAAACAAAATATTCAATTATCCCAATTGTAAAATCCTCAACCTGTAATTTCTATTTTCCCATTTTCAAGAACAGTTGCTTTATGAAAAAATGAGACACATTTTTGTCATCAAAGTTGACAAATCCATATTATATTTTTACCGTTTTTTTAATTGGTTTAAAAAAATCATTTACAAAAGAACTGAGTCTTTGCCACAAACTAAAATTTTCCAATCCTTATATCTTATAAACCTATGATATTTTAGACTTAGATTATTTGATCTACCCGAATCCATAGTTTGAAATATCTAAGGTCTACCAAAATAGGAATTCAAAGATAAAGGGATTAGAAAAGAAGAATTTGTGGCAAAGGCTCAGTTTCTTTTTTCAGATGGAAATATTGGACGTCGGGTTCTTTTTATTTACTGTCTTCTCATGTACTTTGGACAGGTAGTGCGCACTTATATTGTACTGTGTACCGCATCTATTGTACTGTGTACCGCATCTATTGTACTGTGTACCGCATCTATTGTACTACATCTTTTGTACTGTGTACCACATCTATTGTACTACATCTATTGTACTGTGTACCGCATCTATTGTACTACATCTATTGTTATACATTGTGCAATATGCTATATCCAGGAAATGGTTCTAGAACATTTACTTTATTTTTCTTAGTTTTATAAGTTTCTTGATTTTCCATTAAGATCAATTTTTAAAAAATTATGTTAAAAAGGATTTGAGTTCAAGTTAGACTTTCAAATTCCTATATCTTTGCAACTTTATGGTTTAAACCTTTGATATTTTTGACCTAGATTATTTGATCTATAGGAAGGCACAGGTGGGTCATTGTAAAAAAAATCTAAAATAGCCCATAACTTTGTTGTGACTAAAGCTACAGATCTATTAACTATATTTCTGAAAAGCCCTGGAAAATTTGACAATTTTTTGGGTATTTTTTTCAACCCTCCCTAGCACCCAAACTAATAGAGTGAGCTGGCCTTGAAAAATTGGGCTATGAACATGCAGTTCAACCCTATATCTATTTTCTAGGGGGGTGGGCGCGGGACCCCCCCCCCATGCTAAACATGAATTCAGACCCCCCAGCCTTTATAGGGGTTAATTATCATAATAACAATTCATAAAAAAATATTTACTATCTACGTTCTCCCAGGACTACCCTGTGGAACTCTTTACTTCAATACTTTGCACTTTGTAAGTATATTTTTAACTGAAGAAATTGTATGTGACCGGTTTTAAAATTCGGGGTAATTCCCTTTTTATTGTAGTGTGTGGTGTAGCCTTGTAAGCTGTAGCAGATTATATCTTGGAATGCATAGTATAGCAGATGTATTAGCTGGTCTGCTACTTTCCGCACTCCTTTTACCTGTACTGATGTATACAGGTAACATTCTGATGCAGTAGCTGACTCTCATCAGTTAAACAGGGAGACTTAAGCAACTTTGGAATGAAAAGACGACTGTCAAACTCAAATTAGGATTTTAAATTGTCCAATTAACTTGAAACATTGCAATTATGCAGTATAAGGCTGAAAGGTTCTATAAAGCACTTTTTGTTAACAATGAATCTTATAAAAAAATTACTTAAATTTTAACGTGTAACGTGATACTCATTCAAAACAAACTTAAATTTCTCAAATAACTTTGTAAGCTGTACTGCACGGTAAAAGCTTTGAAAATTAATATTTAGCTCTGTACCTGGATTTCTGGCTGGTCAGCTCGCCACTCAGTGCGCCGGTCACTCTTTTCCTGTCATTTCTAGCAATCTGGATTTATCCTTCCTCTGGCAGGTAGGAAATGATGAAGTATGAAATTATAAAGGCAGGAATAATACAGACAGGAATAGAATTCCCTGGGGGTTGGTAATGGTATTTTCGTTAAAACGAGGACGTAGTTGAAAAATGAAAAATTCCATAACTGTCTCAACTTTATTTCCAGAACTTTTTTTAACTGAAATGCTCATATTTCTCCATTAAAAAGACCTATAAATAACTAGGTTTTCATGCAATATGTAATTTTCCGCTTACTTACTAAATTTAGCCCCTTTTCGCCTCCCCCCCCCCATATAATTAACAGAATAAATTTTCACTCAAGTCCTATAACTTCGTTGTTCAATTCACATGTTTTTCTATGATTCTTCAGTCACTGAATAAATATTTCTATCAACATTCAAATGTAACTTTTACTCAAAAAATTGTCCGCTGTTGAATTATGCACCGCCTTTAATTCTGTAATTTAATTCCAAGATGGACCCCAGCACGTGGTGAGACTACCGCCATCTTGGGAAGTTATATTGGGGCCCAGATGGGATTCTGGTTACTGGTCCAGGTAAAAACCAAACATTTATCGTTAAGTCGGAGTTTTTGACGTATTTTCAAGTGACTTTTCAGTCTCCAGTCACTATTAATTCACAACATTGCGGTTAAACCTTTACCTAGCTAACAACAGGGCGTTTAAACCTTTACCTAGCTAACAACAGTGCGTTTAAACCTTTACCTAGCTAACAACAGTGCGCTAAAACCTTTACCTAGCTAAAAACAGTGCGCTTACACCTTTACCTAGCTAAAAACGAGGAAGATATTTCAATCTATTTCCTTCCTTGTCCTGCAGCATTAATCTGCGCTCAAATTTTAAAGAGAAAACATTCTTGAAATTAAATCAGTTTTCAACCTAGAATATCTCATTCAATCTTGATCAGACAAATGTTTTAATTAGTACCGTTGTGAATTGGACATTCCACTTAACAAATGATTTAATAAGTACCGTTGTGAATTGGACATTCCACTTAACAAATGATTTAATAAGTACCGTTGTGAATAGGACATTCCAATTAACAAATGTTTTAATAAGTACCGTTGTGAATTGGACATTCCACTTAACGAAGTTTTAATAAGTACCGTTGTGAATTGGACTTTCCAATTAACAAATGTTTTTATAAGTACCGTTGTGAATAGAACATTCCACTTAACAAATGTTTTTAAAAGTATCGTTGTGAATAGGACATTCCACTTAACAAATGAAAGGTCACTTAAAATTACTTTTCCATTAAGGACAGGAATAAAGAAAAAAATGATAGAAAAATGTCTGTTGTAATGCCATGAATAAAAAAGTATCATTAACGATTTAAAAAAGCCAGCTTAACATTAATCTATAAAACTGTGAGATATGATATGAGGAATGGAAAAATCTCAGTAATTTTTGTTCAAATTCTAAGAATAACTTGATCAAAAAGTCGCTTCTTCAGAATATTGTCAATTTCCAAATCAAGAAAAAATTTGTTTTGTCACTTTATAAATAAAGTTCGTGAGAGATAGAGAGATACTGTTCTAGTATATAAAGTAGTAATCTCTGATTGTTGGTGGTGATGTCTGATCACAACTCATTCGATTCCCTTGACCGTTTTGCCTCAAATTTTATTTGATGAACTCGTTAAAACTACGGGAATGTTTTTAGATCATGGTTTAAGGAGAAAACAAGTCTGGGTTTCCAAACTAGTATTTGATTGTGATATATTGCAATAAATAATAATAGATAATTTTTTAATTTTTTCCTTTTTCTAGCTTGGATATCTTACTACTGGTGGTATGAAAGAAGCATTTGTCTGGGATCGATGGAATTTAGCTCACATTGTCATCAGGTCTCATTTTCACCTTTTGTGTAGATATTGTAACATATTTGCAGTGGTAAAGAACTTGAATACTGGCCACAAACCATCAAAAATAAGATGCGAAAATAAGAGTTAGCAATTGTGCAATTTTTTTGGATTAGACTCTAAAGATTTTGTTGTATAGATGTTGATGTTTTTTTTATTAGAAGCGTCATTGGCGGAATAGTTGGTGGGATTGCTAAAACCGGTTCTAAACCAGTTTGGATCCGGTTTTCCTGCTACCTGGCCGGTATTGACCACAGACGATATGAGAATAGTAGAAACCTGTTTGTTGAATTATTCTATAAGGTAAAAAAAATTTGGTCATAGTGAGAAATTAACAAAAATCTCTTCATTTTTAATTTTCAATTAGACCATTAAAACTGTAAAAAAGACACGTAAAACGTTCTATGTATTTTAAAAGCAGTTTACCTTTGAAAGCAAACAGTTTGCTTGAAAATCAACAATAAAGGGAAATAGGTCCGTGCTCGCTGGACAATAGTTGCATTTTCATGTTTATTTGACTATCATCACTCATAACTTGAGTGCTGACAAGGCTTGAAAGTTTAAACCAATATTGGCAAATGTAAAATCGGATCTAAGCATGAAAATCGTAATCAGGTTCTTTAATCTTAGTTCTGGAGCTACGCAACCCTAGGGATGATGGTTGTCTCTGTCTCTCCTCTCATCTTCTCCATCCTTGGCATTCAACGGGAATCCTTCCTATCAGAGCTCACACCCTGATATATCAATCTCTAAAGATTAAAGGTTGTGTGTGCTAAATTATTCAAGTGGAAAACGTCTAAATGTAATTTTCACTTTAAGTTGGGGCTTTTTTATATTTCTATTGTTGAAAACGCATGGTGCTCTACATTTATAGTTTTTCACTGATCAATGATCAATATTTAGCATACCAAATAGTTTTTAGTAGAATTTCTTAAATATTCATCTAAAAAAGTCAACATGATAATTTTTCTTTGCACTTTGCCTTTTAAATGTCTGAACAGCTAACGTATAACCAAATATATGAACACTGAACATTGAACAAATGTAAAAGCAAATATATGAACACTGAACAGTGAACAAATGTTTAACTAACGAAGGCGGTACGCGTACTGAATTTTCCTTAAAATCCACTATGAATGAGGTATTTTGGCATCTATTTATGAACATTTCTTTACTTTAAAATGGCGCAAACATTTGATATTTTTACTAAATGAATGTTACTAAATCAATAATCAAAGTTGGAAATAATTTAGATTTACATCATCCTTCATCAGGTTGCAAAGATGTAAAAATCTCGGATCCATGTATACAATATATAATTTACAATCCAATCAAAAAATATGTTAAACCACTTTTTTCATGATAAACAAAATGTCTACATATATAATCATAGAGAAAGTAATTTAAAACAATCAGTATCTCATGCCAAGACGTGTTCAAGATTTACAATACTTTGCAACCAAACCCAAGATGTTATATTTTTTTACAACTTGTTTGAAAGCATTTATCTGAAAGTGGAAGAGTCGTGTCAACTGGAAGTGCAATTAAATTGTAAACTTTTATTTGTATTTTTTCAACTGCTCAATTTGTATAAATTATTAAATAAAATTATGAACCTAAAACAACTTGATTTTAATTGTGAAATATAAACATTTATTTTGAAAGTAAATTCTGAAGTCATAAGCCGAGGAAAAGATTAATAAACATAACAATTCACGTGAAATTAAAGTAAATTAGGCATAAGATTGATATTTTAAATGGTTTTACTTTTTTATTTTTACCTCCTTATATCGAAGTCGAAACAAAATGTTTCGAACTTTTGATCTGTAGATAATCAAATAAATCTGATTTTCTCAAACGTGTTCAAAAAATTAAACCTAAAGGAGCTACGAGGTCACAAAGTCGGACTAGCAATGTCATATAAATTTGACCTTCTCCGTATGTCTAGTTCACAGTAATGTAAATAGAAAATCAAGACACAGGAGATAAAAGAAAAAAGTTGGTCAATTATAAATAATTTGTTTATGTACAGGGTTAGCCTGCATAAAGGATAAGATTTCCTAGATGATTGCAACGGAATTCAATAAATCATAATTTCTACGTTCATAGCTCCCTGCAGCTGTCTGTGTCTGTACACTTTTTTCTTACAGTGAGAATACATTCTAAAGAATATATTCAAAGATGAAAAGCTACAGGGTTACCCACAAAGGGAGTGTTCGCGAAAAATGAAAGGGGGTACATGCTTACGGCGAAAATTAATCGCTTTTGATTTCTACTAATCTTACTTCTATATTTTGTTAAAAACGACATATACTGAAGAACGTAGCGTCCATACAAATTCAGAAAGTTGCAATATACGACTCGGATCCTAAGAAAAGTCAGTTATTTCCAAACAAATCATTCATTACAACCTATAGTCGTCGATTTTTTTTCGACGCATTCTTATAAAGTTAATATTTCATAATATTTGCTATTTGTTTTAAATACAATTGCACTTAAAACGACGTTTTTTCCGTTAGGTGTCTCTACCATATGTAATCATTCAAAGCATCGAGAGCAGAGACACCTAGCAACCAAATATTTCGGCTTTTTTCAAACATGCGATCGTTGGACCCTTTAAAAAGTATAAAAATGTTAAAAATTTCTAAAAAAAGAATCTAGCTATATTGCCCATCGCTTACTGCCCAGCCTGGACTTCCAAGTGTAGAGTCGACCCAGCAAAAGTAGCGAGATCGCCGTGCATGCATTAAAGTATCATTATTTGTGGATAAACCTATACATAGAAAAGATACATTGTTAAGTAAATACATAAGGAAACTAGGAGAAAAAATTTAGACGAATTAAAGATAATCAAGGATATATAAAGCACTGCACTTTGAAAAAAATCACAGTTATGAAAACCACGCATTATGTTTGAGATAGGTACCATTTAAATAATTATCAAGTTAAAAAGCGCAAATGTTTCTTATGTGTCTGTTTTGAAGAAGTATTTGAAAAAAACTAGAGATAGAATTCAATATAGGTAACATGCGGGTGTGACATATTTTATCTATTTACTTCATTTATGTTCCCAAAACCGAATTTTTTATAAAAGATAGTGTTCCCTGAATCAGAATTTAATCTAGAATTAATTTTATCACTTTATCTACAGCATCCACGTCGATCCAGGCCATGCATCAATCAAAGACAGAGTCGACGTTAAAGCCTTGGGCTTCGATTTTGCATGGCTCATTTATACTTTTTGTAGTCCTAGACATGAATATTTCATTACCATAAACCACTTGTTTCTACCTTTAGTTTAAAGGAGTAGTTGTGAAATTTTATAGATTTTTCGCGAGAACTTTCAACCTTTGGATCACACTGCGTCTGTTCTGAGACAATGGTTGAAAACGCATTGCTGTTGTTGCTAACAGCGGAGAGTCTATAATGTACATTCAATGAGATCCAATATCTGCAGTCAAGTAAAATAAATATAGTGGCGAATATGTAAATTGTATAATTATTTAGTCAAATACATATTTCTGTATAGTGTGTCTATCTATCTATCACCTTGAGAAACCATGTTTTGTGATTATCTATATATATATAAATATATATATATAGATATATATTCTTTCAGACATTGTGGTTCCGGTATGTAGGAACCATACAGAGTATCCCGGATATACCTTTAACTACGTGTCTGTTGTATATTAGACCTGGAGAAATCCAGGATTATACGAGAGCTAAACCTAAACCAGTGTAAAGTATATATCACCTCATGTGTTCTATGTTACAAATTAATTAAGAAATACAGTTATTAAACCTATCTTTCTCTCATCTTACAGCTGTCATAATCACGTATACAGTGAGGACCATAACACTCTAACAGGAAGACGACTCAAGTTATGATTTGAAATAGTCCAAAGAACATTATATACGGCAATTTTGCATTGTACTGTAAACAGAACTATCCTTTAATAAGTTGAAGTTTAGGCTATGGGTAAAACTATTTGCTTTAATAACCTCATCTGCACATAATATTGCTTAAATGGTGTGGTCCTACTGTGTTGCTGTATTTGTATATTCTTTAAACTTTTATACATAGAATAGAATACATTCAGAGCTGAAAACTTTAGAATAGTGGATATCGAGATTAATGCGTGATCCTCTCTTTTTCATAATATCGAGACTAATCTAAACTTGTACTTGTATCCTGAAAAGTGTATAAAATTCAACCAATCAGAGTCGCGTTTACGAAGCCGATAAATTTGACATTTTGTGCGCCATTTAAGACTATATACAGAAATTGGAGGAACTATCTAATTTAGAAAAAACGATTTTTGATTTTTCTATTTTATATCCAGAAAGAACGGTCTAAGAAGAAAATCAAAAGTGTGTCCACTGGATTAAGGATATCTCATTCTAAAGTTTTCAGCTCAGATTACCGACTTCTTCTCCCAGATTCACATTTAATTCTCATCTATATATAAATTTAGCTTTTCTGTCTGTTTGTTTGTATCCAATAAACGTCAAAACGGCAAAACCGATCAGGCCCAAATTTTGTGTAAATCTGCGAACATCTTTGTGAAAAACGAGAAACTAGAATAATGAGATAATAGAAACTAATAATTGAACAAGATTCGATAATAAGATTAACTTTTATTTTCTCAAAATGTTCTTAACATGACGTCTGTAGTTTATTGTAGAATATTTTTACATTTTATGTCGTCGTTAAATAATAATTTAAAAAAAGCTAATTGTGAAAGCGTATCCACCCCCAAATCAGGAGTTTTGAACGTCGAATTTGCGCTCAAACTCAGGATTTACAGATCTCTAAAAAGTTTAATATGGCTCAACTGAATCCAAAAGAAGTTTTCCACAACAATGCGTCCTCAGTTCAACTACCTTACATAGCAGGTCAATCCCTTTAACTCTAAAATTTTACTTCTTAAATTATGAATAACTACCAAATATATTTTTAAAGATTAAGGACTACCTTTAATTTGTCTTTACACAGTCATGTTTGGTGTGACACTCTGTATATTTATGTAATATCAAGTATAGATATCTTTTTTATTCATTCAGAGTTAAGGTAAGGATGTATAAGGAAAATAATTTTATTTTACAATTTTCAGAATCTAAAAAAAAAACATCATGAATCGTAGATTTTTAAGACTTTTATTTTTTCTGGTGTCTCAGGTAATTTTACAATTGAAATTTGGATTGTTTAAGCCTACTAGTTTATACTGTAACGTCGTTTTTAACATTTTAAAACTGTTATTTTAGTCCGTTGGGCTGGCGCACTTCTACGTCCTAAAAATCATTTCATATGTTCTTTCATTCTTAGAGCGAGCGTCATGTCCAATTTGCAACGGTACCCTCTAACTCTTAAATTTATTAATATACTTCTTTTTCTAGATAAAAATGAGTTTATTCTTGAACTATATGAGGTCAGGTTTGAACAACAAAGACATATCTCCGTATTAGACGATCAGACAAAATGTTATTTGGTACCGTATATTGTGAATTATACATGTCACTCTTTAAATGAAGAGTGACTTGTAAAAACGTATAAAGTCCCTTAAAAATGTTTATAATTTTATCCGCTACAGCGCCTAATTTATGCGAAAGGAAAGATCCTTTAAACTGCATAATAATTTAAACAATTCTTTTTAAGGTCTTATTATTTTTTTAACCCTATTTAGATTGAAAAACTGCACTGCACTGATTTCACTGATGAGCTCAGCTGTGCTCCGAAAAAAAGGAAATACCCATGCAATTAAAAAATCATATTCCCTTTCATGTTGACTCGAAAAACATTTTTGAGTAAGGAAAAACCTCGAGAAAGGTTTTTTATGAAACTTCAAGATTTTATTTTTTTTAATATTTTCCATAAATGCATTTATTTTTGATAAACATGAAATAATTAAATTATGAATTTAATACCGGTCATGGAAATACATTAAAACATGGTCATGGACAATGAATGGAAAACGTTAATAAAATATTCACATAAATACCAGTTTTACTCACGAAACTCATGAACGGTAAACAATCCTTTTAATACTTTTTATTTGTAAACTTCGTAGTCTCAACCCATTTTTTGCATTGATTTGAATGCAGTGAAATCCTTGAAATTTATATATTAAAATGGATTTTTTGACAGTGACATCCATAAAACTGTAGAATTTATATATTAAAATGGATTTGTATACAATGACATCCATAAAACTATGGAATTTATATATTAAAATGGATTTGTATACAGTGACATCCATAAAACTGTGGAATTTATATATTAAAATGGGTGCACTGTACGATTACTGTGTTTATGTTCAAGGAACTATTTAAAATCTTAGAATAGATCTAAAAGTCGTCTTCCTATTTCACAGTTTCATGGATAAGACTCTCACTAAAATTTGCATCGATTTTTAATTATTGTTAAGTAATTTATTTTGTGATTTCAAAAATTTACACATTTTGAAAAATTAAAATAAAGAAGTAATAATTTGAAGAATAATTAATTTTAAGAATGATTAATATTCAATTCAATCAAAGTTTCATGGCTCAAATGCATAAAAGAGAAACTTTGCACTGCGATCTAACTTCATTGTTTTTATCACATTCAAATCCTTTTGATTTGGTTTTCCGAAAAAGAATGATAAACTTTGACCTAAGTTAAAGACTTGAGTCTAAAAGTTATCTTCCTATTCCAGAGTTTTCTGGTTCTCACGGTATCTAGATTTTAAGTGTTTAACGCTGACAGATTTAAAGCTCCATGTGCAATAAAGAATAACAATTCAGTCAAATCCTTATTCATCAAATTGTCTCTTATCTATATAATAAAGCTGTAGCTTGGCAAATGGCCAAACCAAATTGGCTGAAATTTTTGGGGGGAACCCGCCCTTGGGTAATTTTTTTTAATTTAATTTGATTTAAAACTCGAAATTTTTGTTTGAAAGTTTTTTCATTCCACGGGCAACGCCGGGCACATTCGCTAGTAGGTTCATGTATAAATCTATTTACTTTTCCATAAAAAAATCTTAAGATATGACGACATTTTAAATCATTTTGCTTAAGTTGTCTTTCTCAAAATTACTTAACAATATGAGCAATGCAAAAGATACCTGATCGACGTGCTTGTAACTTGTTCCTCTTAGACAATTTTTTTGTATCTCTAGTTTGTGGATATTTAATGTATGTGTTTTTAACTTTGCGCATCCCTAACTTTTAATAATTGCATGGATATTTTAGATTTAATTCTGTATTGACGGTAAGAAGGGTTTTTGCCATAACTCTGATTTTCTAATCCCTATATCTTTACAACCTAATCTCATAGTTCTCATGTATGTCTAACTATAAATTATGTTAGATCAAAGTGTCTAAATTCAAATATCAAAGGTTTACACGATAAGGTTTCAAAGATGTAGGGATTCGAATATTTGAGTTTGTGACAAAGACTCAAATTCTTTTCTCAAGAAAATGTTATTAATTAAATAAAAATATTATTGTTCAGAGTAAATGTTATTAATTAAATAAAAATATTATTGTTTAGAGTAATTGTAACGGACGACTTGGCAACGTTATGATGACCTACGCTACACTTTATGTAAGTAAATTTTTCAAAAATTTAAAAATTCAAGAAAAAAAAATAATTAATTTTTATTTCAGTATTTTTCTAAGGAAAACAGGGCTCAATGAATTAATCATTAAGACATAAGACATGAATTCCAAACTTTTTATTGTCTGTCTTAAAATTTTGATATGGTCTTAAACAAGTTTGTGAAAAAGAATTTGACCATGTAGTGGTTTAACCCTTTCGCACCTGAAGTCATTTAGTGGCTTTACAATAAAATGCTCTGACAAATGGACAAGTTTTCATTCTTATCATCATCTTTTTACAACTCAGTATTTTTTGATGTTTTTTTGCACTTAACAATTTACACAAATTTATTTTCTTATTGCAATTTCTTCAATTAATTCCATTAATCCATAAATAGAGTTCTTGCACTGAAAGTTAAATCAAGAAATGGATTTCCAGTATTCACCAACACCACTGCAAGCAAATCACTCTCGGTACGAGAGGGTTAAAGGGGCCGTTCACTTATTTGGGTCATTTCATGGTAACCTAATTAGTCTATTTGCTTTTTATTGTTATTAGTCATAGTTTTCAAAAATATCTATGAACGGAGAAAAAGCCGATTTATCGTTCAGAATTTCAGCGTTTTTCTTGTTCAAACATGATTTAGCAAATTAAAACGTTATACAAAGACGACTTTCTCTCTTAGACAAACCGGTTCCTAGATTCCAACTCTTCAATAAATTACGGGGAATCCTGGGGAAGTAGGGAAAACGTATCAAATGTTTAAAATAAGTTATATTTTAATATTAGACAATTGAAAAATAATTTTTTTTAAAAATAAAGATTTTTACAATTAACTATTATATACTACAATTCAATTTTTAAAAATCCATGACTATGACATAAAGCATCAAATAGTGTAATTCTGAATGATAAATCGTCTTTTTCTCAGGCTACAGTTGTCTTTGAAAAGTAAGACTAATAATACCAATGAATAGCTAATATGCTATTTAGTTTACCCTCAAATTACCCAAATAAGTGAACGGTCCCACGTACTTATCCAGTGCTTTCCAGGCTTTAAAATAAAAAGAATGTTTTTATTTAAAACAAACAATTCATGGAAAAATGATTAATTGATTGCAAGCAGTTTGATTTTGCTGCTGTTCTTTCTGAATACCAAGCGAAGACGATGGCAAACAATTTCCAACATGACGCATGTAAAATAAAATACGGTAGGTTCATAATTTATAATTCAACATTCCTAAAAAAAATGTTTGAAGACAAAGCTATTTATCATGCTAAGCGAAATAAAAATTGAAATTTGAAAATTTGAAAATTTCAATCTAAACTTTATAATTCTTAGAAGGTTTTATCAGACATTATTTGGAGTTAAAAATATCATAAAAATTTGAAAATAAAAATAAATGAAAAATTATTATCGTTAACATTGTTTATGAAACTATAACTTCAAATTTTTTTATCTTTCTCTGTGCTCATTTTATGTTTGTTTTTTGTTCCGGATTTTCTCAAAAAAAATAGTTTATTTAAAAATTTAACCTTGAATTTAACTTTTTTTTCTATTTTGTCGAAATATTATCTAGTTCTATCTTGCAGGACAAGTGTAAAAATAGTCAACGAAATTGCATGGAACATATTTATACATTTTTGGAATTAATCATTTTCTCTCTATCTCAATAAAGAGAGAATTTCTGTCCAAATAATGAAAAGCACTGGAAACCAAAATAATATTGTTAAAAATAGTTATTATAAAACCTTGTAGGCAAGATCAATGAAACTGCCGAAGATGTTGAGGTTGTGGTATCTGTAAACGAATATGGTGAATATATATATGACGAGTTCATCAGAAACTTCGAGAATTTTCGACATAACAAAATCCTCAATATAGGTAAAATACATTTTTGTTAAAATTTGTGTAACAAATAGTGTGTAAAGACTTAAAGGGACTGTAAAGGAAAAATGAAAAGGGGTATAGTGCAGTATTGGTGGAACTTCTGGTAACCTGAACCGAACGTAATATTTATATTATCAATAATATCTACTAAAAATGAACAAATATTAAATGTATTATTTCTATAAAATCATGAAGTTTGATCCATATTTGATAAACAGAATAATGTAATTGCTTTGTTTAGGTGCTTATCCATCTAATTTTGCTCTACTGTCGGAGATTAAAGATGAACTAAAAAACCAGTTTCAGGAAAGAGATAATACGCTGTCCTTTAGATAATTGAACCAAACAAAGCTTTTTTTCTTATTTTGTTCTTAAGTTTATTTTGTTTTAAATCAAAACATTTTCTATTTTTGTCCGAGCAATTTTTTTCAAGTTGTTTAAACTTTCCACACTTTTCAAAACCTTTAGTTAATAAATTACTGTAAACAAAAAAATTGTCATACAAAAACGATAAATGCCTCTAGAGCAAAGTGTATAAACGGGATTGCGAGTAACCCTCCGAGTAAACAGTGAGAACCAAAAAACTAAGGAATCGGAAGACGACATTTTATCAATTATATTATTCTTTAGTAACTTATTACATCACTTATTAAGTTAGTGGGATCTGTTTACATCGAACAATTGCTGTGTCTCATGTTCATTAGGCTATTTAAAGTCATAATTTAGTTTATAAGTCGTCATCCTATTCCAGAGTTTTCTGGTTCAATCTCACTCTAGAATACCCTTTGATTTTGAATATTTATCTGAGTAACATTGTGGAATACATTGTTCTTGAAAGTGTAATATCTAACAATTTCCAACATTGTTTCTCTTGAATACATCCGCAAGTCACTGCAGGGAATAAACAATAATAAATTTATCTTATTGTCTGTTAGTCCCTGGGTTAGTCCCCTGTATTATTGTATATATTATAGTCTCCAGCACTTTTTTGTGATTCATCCACTAGTCATATTTTTCCACTATTTAGTCCCTTAATCGTAGCTCTGTACAGTCCTAAGTAAGTAGTTCCTGGCAGTACTTGACTACATTTCGTCTGTCCATAATCCATAGTCTTTCTGATCGAAGTCATTCTGTCCTTGTTTTCCAGTAAGGAGCTTTTGTTTTCCTCTTCTAGTCTGCAAAAGTCCTAATAGTCTGATATAATCCTTCTTGTTATTCTTCTAAGGTTGTCAGGTTTTGAGTAACCTTAAATGATATATATATTTACTCATAAGAAGTATCATGTATACAGTTTTTTGAGAGGATCAATTATGAACGACTCACTTTCTTTCAGTCTAAAACGAGAAAAACGTTAGAAATTCTATTAGAAATGAAGCGCGAGGCGCCAAAGAAAAATTGTTGAATTTTTTTTCGTCGACAAAATTTGATAACATGATTGTCTACAATCGTGATCATTATTGAGTCAAGAGGGGAGCAAAAAAAAAAGAGGGAGGGGGGCGAAACTCGGTTCGCCCCCCCTTCTTGCGCCACTGAATGGTTTTATTTCAAATTCTTTTTATCTAATATCAGATAGAGATAAAAAGCTAAGATTGATTACTAATTTGAATCTGATTAACTATTCCATTATTTTTTACAGTTTTTGAACAGTTTCAATATCTTTGGAACAGTTCAAGTCTGATATTGTGAAGGCGGCTAAAAAAGCTTTGAAACAATCAACACATTCAATAAGGTATTTGGATCAAATTTAGACAACAAATGTTTCTTTTATTTTCAAGAAAACCTAAAGCTGTATCATTTTATATTCAATTTATTATATTAGATTTTCTAAAGAGGTCTTCAGAAAATTATGTAAAATAAAAATCAATACAGCGGTGACCTAAAAACTGTCTTGTTTCTTCATTAAATCAAATAATATAGATATGGATTTCGTATGTCATATTTTTCGCCGAAATAAATCACTTGTAAATCTTGATAAACCTAAGAAAATTGAACGAAAAAGTAGAAATCTTAAATGTTTTCAATAATAACTCCACTTATTGAAGAGCTATTGGAAAGTACAGAAAATGCTATGAATTTTCATATTTGGACCAATTTGCCTTTCTCATGACTTGAGCGTAAAAAAACGGGAGGACCTACGAGGTCACAAAGTAATATCGATTAAATTTGACCTTTTCCTTCGGACTAGATTTGGCAGTTAAATTGCATTTCCAGAGAATAAGAAACATAGAAAATGACAATTATTTCACTATTATCTGGTTATATTCTGAAATCTGCGACAAAATTTGCATTTTAACTAAATCCGTGAAATTAGATAAATCCGCCAAATTTAATCTTAATTCTTTATCGATTGTTCAGAGAACAGTTTGGTGGGAGGAAGATAGTTTATGTTGGGATTCATGCCAGGAGAGGAGATTATGCTCACAATCCTCATCTAACGGTCATTTTTTAATTCATAAAATGTTTTTATTTTTTTAAATGAAAAAATCTTAGAAAAGTTCATGTTGAAATACTACTCCACTGTCCACCACTTGATATTTTCAAAAAAAAATATAACACGTTTCATGAGTGTGTAGGAAGAAAGCAGCATCATCGGAGTGGTACCGGAGACCCCAACCCGTACCATACCGGAGACCCCAAAGTTTTCATCGGAGACCACAAATAAATAGTTAACATTTTTGAAAATGTAAATATTGCTTTTTATGGCATAAAAAAACTAAATAAATTCATTTTATCATAAACTTTATAATTTGGATATTATTTAATGCATTAACAACGAAATCTACAACTTTTTTAAAGATTTTAAAAATTTCGTGCGTGTTATAATAATGTATGTTAAAATAGTAATCTATTATAATGATGAATGTAACGAAACCTAACTATAAATTAGTATGTATGCAAACGATAAGCTTTACTAAAATAAATATTTAGATATGAAGATTACGAATTTGAATCTGATTAACTCTTTTAAAATAACTTTTTTATAAAAACAAAAAAAATCAAATTAACATGCATTCACGTAAAATAAAACTCTGCTAATTTTCAGATTTCAACTTTTTTTAACAGTTTTTGAACAGTTGCAATATTATCTTTTGAACAGTTTAAGTCTGATATTGTGAAGGCAGCTAAAAAAGCTTTAAAACAATCAACACATGCAATAAGGTATATAAATTAAATTTAGACAACAAATGTTATTTTATTTTCAAGAGAACCTAAAGCTTTATCATTTTAAATTCAATTTATCATATTAGATTTTCTAAAGAACTTGTAAGAAAATTAAACAATTATGTAAAATAAAATCAATACAGCGGTGATCTAAAAACTGTCTTGTTTCTTCTTTATATCAAATAATATAGATATGGATTTCGTATATGCCATATTTTTCGTCCAAATAAATCACTTGTAAATCTTGATAAACCTAAGAAAATTGAACGTAAAAAGTAAAAATGTTTTCAATCATAACTCCAGTTTTTAAAGAGCTATTGAAAAGTAAAGAAAATGCTATGAATTTGCATATTTGGACCAATTTGTCTTTCTACGGGAGGAGCTACGAGGTCACAAAGTAAAGTTGATTAAATTTGACCTTTTCCTTCAGACTAGATTTTGCAGTTAAATTGCATTTTCTGGGGATAAGAAACATAGAAAATGACAATTGTTCCATTATTATCTGGTTACATCACTGTGTAGCGTTTGTTTCTGAAATTTAGCTAAATCTGCGACAAAATTTGCATTTTAACTAAATCCGTGAAATTAGATAAATCCGCCAAATTTGATTTTAATCCTTTATCGATTGTTCAGAGAACAATTTGGTGGGAGGAAGATAGTTTATGTTGGGATTCATGCCAGGAGAGGAGATTATGCTCACAATCCTCATCTAACGGTCATTCTTTTAATCATAAAATGTTTTTATTTTTTTTAAATGAAATAATCTTAGAAAAATGCATGTTCAAATATTACTCCACCGTCCACCACTTGATATTTTCAAAACAAAATATAACACGTGCATGGATAAATATTAAGAAAATCTTTAAAAAACATGCTTTTTTATCTATTCAAAACTATATAACTTTTAGGATTTTTATACTAATGATAATGTTTGGAGAGCTTACTTTTTGCACTGCATTAATCTTTTTAGGTAAGATCATTAAAGAGGCTGTAAAGCTTCAAAAACAATAAAGAAATCGAGAGAAAATGTTAAGTTAGAAAATCAAAATCATCTTCCACATTATTTATGAGATTAAGGATTCCCGGGTACTGTTGTGAATCAGGCATACCCCTCTTTCATTAAAGGATCACTTATAATTGCAACGCGGTCCTTTTAGAAATGACGTAATCTTTTTTAATCTGTTATTGAAAAAGTGATCTTGAATATTTGTAGTGGTAGAAAAGTAGCCCCGAATTTAATTGATCTGTTGGTTTGCATAATATCGCGGATTAACACTTGATCCTGGGATTTACTACATCTCAGTTCTGACTTCTCAACATATAATGGGTTACCTACAGAGAATGGGACTTTAAAAACAACTGTACAGAATTTTTATTGCCCGTTTTCTTATGATCATGATTTTCTGTAATTATAAACATATTTTTGGTCAAATCGTTAAATTGAATGAGTTTTATGTCAAACTGGGGTTTCACAACCCTCTGTCCAGTAATAAGATTAAGTTGTGAAATAATACTTTTCACACATCATTGAACAATAACCTTAAATAAATATCGTAGATTTTCTTGTTGTTTATTCCCCAACCCCTCCTCATTTTTGGGTTAAAGTTTATTATGTTTTCTCTATATAGGGCTCGAATAGACAATGAGACAACGAAAAGTGTATTTGTAATGCTGAGCGATGAAAAACTTTGGCTCAAAAATAATTTTGAAAATGAACCAGACGTTGGATTTCCGGGATACTATTCTTTAATATCAGGTTGGATTTTTTTAAAGATACTTTTATTGAAAACAGTTTTTAAGTCTAAGACTAAAAACTATTTATTATTGCGTGCATAAATTTTTTCTATAAAACCTTTAACAGATTTTAAATTTTGAAATATTTCAATTTGAGAAAGTTCAAACTTTCAAAGTTTTCCTTAAAATGTATCGCTCATGAAATTTCTGATTATTACATCAGCCCTTTAACATTTCAAATTTAAAGTTATTCTAGAGTTTCAACCATCTGTGTCCGAATTTAATGAATATAAGCCGCGTCTCAAATCCCCCCAAAAACGGTTTCAATTGAGCGCCAGCTTAAATCTTGAAAAATTTAATACAATTTTAAGTGGAACCAAGCATATTTGAGCCGCGGCTTAAATTCTTTAAATTCGGCCTCCGGTTGCAAAGATATATAGGCATTGAAGGCGAGTAAATACCCAATTTTGTTAGATTTTTTCTCATCAAAATCGTTCTTGTAAAAAAAATATTATTGATTTTAGAGGAACGAATGCCAGCAAGAGACATGTATATTTTGATGTTATGTAAACATTTAATCAGGTGATTTAAAGAATATAATGAAAATACTGATAAAAAAATCACTTCAATATTGTAACTTTCAAGCAAGATATACAGTGATAGGCGATTAAATCAATACAATGAAGACGACTTTCTATTTGAATTTTGATTTATATCAAGCTTTTAAACATCATGGATACATATTCACCAAAACAAAGAGAAGTTGCCAATAAAAAAAGCTTCTCTTTGATTACTTGAAAGTCGAAAAATGCTTGTAAACAATCAAACTTAAATTAAAAAGTCGTCTTCATTGTATTAATATAATTGCCTACCATTGTATTAAAAATAATAAAACTCCTTTCCAGGACATATGGAACTTTCGGAATCTGGGGAGGATTTTGGTCTAAAGGTAAAATAGATAAAGTGTTACCCTTAATAGAAAGGATAAAATACAGGGTTACCCACAGTTCAAAGGATAAGATACGAGGTTACCCTCAATACAAAAAATAAGATAAAGGGTTACCCTCATAAAGAATAAGATACAGGGTTATCCTAAATACAAAGGATAAGATACAGGGTTACCCTCAGTACAAAGGATAAGATAAAGGGTTACCCTCATAAAGAATAAGATACAGGGTTACCCTCAATACAAAGGATAAGATACAGGGTTACCCTCAATACAAAGGATACGATACAGGGTTACCCACAATTCAAAGGATAAAATGCAGGGTTACCCAAAACACACAGAAGAAATCAACCGTGTACTACATTTCCTCTTTTAGGAACTGTAATGTATTCTTACACTGGTAGAGGGTTTTTGGTAAGTATTTGTTTTTATTATCATTTGTTGCATGTGATGACAAACGTCGATATGGTTAAATGTACATTGACATCAGCTGTTGTACGATCACGTGTTTAGTTGTTCATATAAACGTACAGTTGTGCATAAATATGATCAGACGTACTTATATAAAAATATGTATAGTTGTACATAAACATGTGCTTAGTTGTGCATGACTATGTATATGACAAGTTGTACAAACACATGCTTTAAATTGTACATAAACATGTTAAATTCTTCGGAATCATGATCGCAAGTTCAAGGAATACTTATTCCTTCATTCTATTCTACATTAACATGTTCGGATGTACCTCATCCTTTTCATACTCATCCTTCTCCTTATCCTCATCCTTCTCATAATCATCCTTCACATCCTTCTCCTTATCCTCATCCTTCTCATAATCATCCTTCTCATACTTCTCCTTATCCTCATCCTTTTCATACTCATCCTTCTCCTTATCCTCATCCTTCTCATAATCATCCTTCTTATACTTCTCCTTATCCTCCTCCTTCTCCTTCTCCTTATCCTCATCCTTTTCATACTCACCCTTCTCCTTATCCTCATCTTTCTCATAATCATCCTTCTCATACTCAATTCTTCTCCTTATCCTCAACCTTCTCAACTCATGCTTATCCTTATCCTCATCCTTCTCAACTCATTCTTCTCATTATCCTCATCCTTCACCTAATCCTTATCCTTCTACTCATCCTCATCCTTTTTCTTATTCTCTTTTTTATTTTTCTCATTCTCATCCTTATGCTTATACTCATACTTCTCCTTATTCTAATCCTTCTCATAATGCTCATCCTTCCTCATCCTCTTCAGACCAATCTTCATTCTTTCTCCTCCTTTTTTTACCCTGCTCCTCACAACCATATGAACATGTTCAATGTACATTGTACAGTGTACATTACTAACAGTGTACTTGTTCAGGACGAACAGATCCTAAGTAANAAATATATATAAATAGATATTTATTTACAAGGAAAAAATGTTAATCTTTAATCCAGATAAACTTTCTTTTTACTTGAATGACTGTCAAAGAAAATAACATACTCTCTTGATTACATTCTACTCTCTACAGTAACTTGCTTGTTTAGAACAAATGTTTATTTCGAGAAAAAAATAACATTGAAGGACAGCTGATCCTTTTATTTGGCACAATTGTAGATAACTTAATATAAAGGATTTGAGGCGGAAATAAAATTTTATTTTATAGGTCTATGTGTTCATAGTGCGTAAAAGAATAATTGAATTCTAAATCCAAATATTTTAAAATATACATTTTCAAGAATAGTATAGATTTAAAGCTATTTTTGTGGAAATACAATATTTGCCAAGAATGCAAACTGTCGGATTTAGGAAAAAAGAGTTCTAACATTTTAAACAGAGCTGTTTTATTATTTGAAAAATTAGATATTTCTTCTTTAAAAAAAATTTTAAGGGTTGAAAACAAAATTACTTAACTATCAGTATTTTACACTACAGTACTAAATGGCACATTAAAAAAAATCAGATCATAATTTTTATTAAATAATCTTTTTAATTAATTTGATATCATTAAAAAAACATAATCAGTTGTTAGTAAAGAAGCAAGAATTTTTTTGGATTTTTTTAGCATAAAAGTTTTTGCAAAAATTAAAAAATAATTTTTATGAGTGGAACGAATTGAAAGGAAGTATGTTTAAGCCACACTTGCTTCAAAATACTTGTATGTTGGGTTCTCATAACCGCTCGCCTGAAAGAAAAAAAAAACCGTATGAGAATGTTTGAAATAAGCTCGCATATGTTCTCCCTTACCATTATTTCATCGTCAACACCTCAAACGGCTGAACCAATCAGGTTTGCAATTTTTGTGGCAACTCTCAAGTGAAAATGCACAAAATTAAACAGACAAATCAACAGATAAAAGCCGAACTTGAAGACGTAGTTTATTACTTCCTGATGCACTATAGTTTCAGAAGCAGTAAACATTTCCATTAATTGTTAGCTCCGATTAAAGGATTCATATATCTTATTGGATAATGAGATAAATAGAAAGATAGATGTTACCGCCATACTATTTCTATTTGTTCAGAATAGACAACAAACACATGACTCAACCCTGATTGGATCAGGTACTAATGGACTCGGGATACAGGAGTGGATGATCCCTCACTTTAAATTGAAATCATTCTCTAAAGCCAACAAACTTTAAGCACTTATGTTAAATCCGAGGGAAAGTCTTTTTCGGTCACTCCCTTCACACCAAACATAACATGTTTACAAGCAAAGTTTTTAGCTAATATAAAAGTTAGGTTTGTTTCAGTCTCATTACTGTATTTATACAAGTCCTATAATTGTTTACAGCCTTACAGGCTAATATACAATCTCTAATCTACTTACATTGTAGAAAATGCCCTACTCCATAATGGTTTCTCAAATCCGTATTTATCCAGGTATAACTCAGTTTCACTTTACTATCAATGTCAAAACTCGGACACGATATCGAATGAACCAATGGGCAAGATAAGTAAGATATCGATGTCAACACGGACACTAGCTTGTAAACTATCAATGCCAAACCAATGGGCAAGATAAGTCAGATATCGATGTAATCACGGACACTAGCTGGTAGACTATCAATGCCAAGCCTGATTTTCTGGGGCCTTAAAAAAATTGTAAAAAATGTTTTATACCTGCATTGATGAGAGATGTTTTTCCTCGGGACAAGAGAACTGGGGAACCTCAAGGAAACCCTGAACAGAAAATATTTAAAGATGTTTTTGTTTTTTAACTAGTTAGTTGAAAATATAAAAATATGTTATAAAAAAATCTGTTAATTTCAAAAACTTAAAATAACAAATTGAAAATGTTTTGGAAAACATAGAAAATAGGAAACCTTTGTTTACTGGACCAAAAAATAATATTCTAATATTTTATGAAAATCCCTGGGTTTATACTTTCCAATAAAGAATTTCAATAATTTTATGATTTTTGAATAATTTACCTTGTAAGAATTTGCTTTTTACTGTATAAAATATTAAACCCTAACATAGTTTTTTTTTAATTACATTTTACATACCCTTAATCTTTTCGTCAACTTTCATGTTATTACAATCACAAAGTACATTTTAGTAGTCTATGATTTAAAGATATGTCAACAAACGTCAAAGAACGTAGCATGCATTTTTTACGCTAGTTAAAACGAAGCCAAGCTTTTATAATCTTAAAATATGACGGAGCCACTTAAATTAGATTTGAAAAATTGAAATCTTCGACCTTATAAAATACTAGCTGAAAATAAATAAAAAAATTTTGAAAAAATAATTTAGAATTTTTTTTAGTCTAAAACACCCCTGAGTGGCCGATCTATAGGCAATATATATATATACGAATGTCTTTTTTATTTAATGATGTATTTGGTGCATGTACCGTCCAGTTTTGCCGTCTTTAATACTGTACAACTTGTTCTAACTGCTTAAAATTCGGCCTGGTACTTCAAATGAACAGTTTACTGAACCTGATGTGAGCGGATATTGTTATTGCGCCTGCGCTTGAAGACGACTAGTCCGAGTAGAACAATGAGAGCAGTTCCACCTCCAACCAGGAGAATATAATGGAGGTATCCGTTTACAGGAGCAGGAGTACTCCCCGACACAGAGAAATCCTGAACAAGATATCTTCGAATCTAAGAGAAAATTGTTTTTTCAAAAATCAATATTTTTTCTATTTGCTAAAAATCGATTTTTTAAAATTCTAGTTTTTTTTAATTTTACGGGCAACGCCAAGCATTTCAGCTGGTATTTAAAAAAAAATTCAATTTAAAGTTTAACTGAACTTTTTGGTCTTGGTGTGGTCTTTATGAAATCCAAAATATGCAGGCTGGGAAAGGAATACAATTCAATAAACCCAGGTTTTTCCGAACAGTAACTGCAGGTTGAAGGTATTAAGGTTTGCAGCAAATTCCAGACCCATAAAAATTGTAGAATAGAAAGACGACTAGTATGCTACAGTTATGATTTTTAGTACTTCAATAATCGCGAAACACCACAAATTGGGTTTTCAAGCTACTGATCTATTTTCTTAATGGCATTGACAACATAAAATGCACAAATGTTGTCTTTAATTGCATTGTTTTATGGATCTGACTGTTAGGTTATATTACCAATTGATCGTGTATGAGCTTATGTGCTTGGGCGTTACTGTTGACCACCCTATCCTCCACCTCAACCTCAACCTTGTTCAAGGCACTGTATTCGTCCATCCTGCTATACTCGTCCATCAGTCCGTCGTCCCATCTAGAGTACTCGTCCCTCTTAGCTCCGGTATCAAACCCAGGAACTACGGGAAGATCAATTTTCCTTCTTCGAACCAACATATTCTTCTCCTTTCTCATGTTCTCTTCATTCAATATCTTCTCCTTGTCCCCCACCATTTTTTCCTCCATCTTCTTCTTTTCCGTTCTCTTCTTCTTCTCCTCCTTCATTTTCTCTTCCTACATATGAGAAAGGAAGGATTAGCTTAGCGGATAAAAATGTTAATTTTGAAAAATGTTGTATCGTGTACCCTTAATCAAATATTCTGTATTTTCTATCCTGTATCCTGTATCCAGATCTGAAATCCTGTATTATTTTTTCTATTTCCCGATCCTGTAGCCTGTATCCTACATGCTCCTGTATCCTGTATCCTACATGATCCTGTAATCAGTATCCTACCTGTCCCCGTATCCTGTATCCTGTATCCTACCTGATGTATCCTACCTCCTCCTGTATCATATCCTGTATCCTACCTGATCCTGTGACCAGTATCCTATACCTGCTCCTGTATCCTGTATCCTACCTGATCCTGCATGATGTATAATGTATCCGGCCTGCTCTTGTATCCTGTATCCTACCTGCTCCTGTATCCCATATCTTGTATCCTACCTTCTCCTGTATCCTGTATCCTGTATCCTACCTGCTTCTGTATCCTGTATCCTACCTGATCCTGTATGATATATCCTGTATCCTACCTGCTCCTGTATCCTGTATTCTACCTGATCCTGTATGATGTATCCTGTATCCGGCCTGCTCTTGTATCCTGTATCCTACCTGCTTCTGTATCCTATATCTTTAATCCTACCTGCTCCCGTATCCTGTGTCCTGTATCCTACCTGCTCTTGTATCCTGTATCCTACCTGCTCCCGTATTCAATATCCTGTATTCTACCTGCTCTTGTATCCCATGTATCCTACCTGCTCCCGTATCCTGTGTCCTGTATTCTACCTGCTCTTGTATCCTATATCTTGTATCCTACCTGCTCTTATATCCTGTATCCTACCTGCTCCAGTATCCTGTATCCTGTATCCTACCTGCTCTTGAATCCTATGAACCACGTTATCCTTGAAACTGTCCAGTATTTTCTCCTCTTGTTTTCTATCCATAGAGAACCTAGGGGCGGGGGTATCATCCTTAGACCTGAAATTAAATTGATTGTTTACAAATTCACACTGCAGACATATGTGTATGTACTGCTGTGCTGGCCTCTGAAACCGAACTTCTTTTTTAAAGTTCAAGGTTTTTTACTTTTAGAAGGCTCCATGAGAATATGAGATGTTTATCATGTTTCATAATTATATTTTCTTTCATAATAAGTTTGCTTTCATAACAATTAGCCAATTTTTCCCATGCCAAAAGATAATAGACCAACCAAAACAATTTATCCCAATGTACGATAAGTTTTCAAATTTAGTTTCGGTATGATATCCTATATGCTATTCTCTGTGTATTTATATGTCTAGTTTTAGAAGAAGTTGTTTTGCAATAAAACAAAAAGTTTTGATTTTGAGAAATTGGATATTTTGAAAGTGCTGTACTATCAAAACAAAATTATGTTGCATTTTGCATTAAGAAGTGCAATTCTGCAAATCTGAAACTAAAATGGAAAATCCGCAAAATTCCTTATTATTGAAATGTATCAACGTTTGGTTTTATTTGGTGAAAAATATTGTTCTATAGAAAGTAAATGTTTTATCTTTCCTAATCTCAACAGTCTAGTAAATACATAAGAAAAAAATCAAAAGCAAGACAAGAAATGGAAGAGGTAAGATTTAAAACTGATTTAGTTTTAAAATTTAAATCTTATTTCCATGCCCGTTTCACAGCAGGACACTTAAATTGTTATCTGAGGAACGTAAAACGGAAGATATTGTCGATTTTCAATCTTAAAAAGGATATTGTCGATTTTCAATCTTAAAAAAGAAATTGTCGATTTTCAATCTTAAAAAAGATATTGTCGATTTTCAATCTTAAAAAAAGATATTGTCGATTTTCAATCTTAAAAAATATATTGTCGATTTTTAATCATAAAAAAGATATTGTCGACTTTAGAAACTCACAATCAGAAATGATAAATTTTTCAAAATATTAACGAGGATCTTTTCATCATTTTTGTTGGGACAGGGGGTTAAAAAGGTATCCTTGTGAATCAGACATGTCCGTGTTTAAATTAAATGTCAATTGAAGTTATTTTGACAGTAGTCTATATACGACCAAATTATGCTAATTTGAACTTTTTTATAATGTTTAAAATCTGTAAATTGTAATTTTGTGCAATTCTAAGTGGAAATCATGACTTTGGTTCTAATTCAGTGTTCCCTTGGGACCTTTAGAATCCAACTTGGGGAGTATATTTTACAGTTGGATATCCAAGAGATATCTATGCAAGAACTGTACTAGAATAGAAGTATTTTTTTCAGTAGGATATCCAAGAGATATCTTTGCAAGAACTGTACTAGAATAGAAGTATATTTTACAGTAGGATAACCAAGAGATGTCAATACGAGAACTATACTTGTATAGAGTATATCATACAGTAGGATAACCAAGAGATATCAATACAAGAATTTTTTGTATAGAAATATATTTTACAGTAAGATAATCAAGAGATATCTATACAAGAACTATACTTGTGTAGAAGTATATTTTACAGTAGGATAACCAAGAGATATCTATACAAGAGCTATGCTTGTATAGAAGTATATTTTACAGTAAGATAATCAAGAGATATCTATACAAGAACTATACTTGTATAGAAGTATATTTTACAGTAAGATAATCAAGAGATATCTATACAAGAACTATACTTGTATAGAAGTATATTTTACAGTAGAGTAACCAAGAGATATCGATTCAAGAACTATACTTAAGAATAGAGAGGGAGGGAACCCCCGGACACGAGCCTCCCTGATTTGCTAGGCAAACCAAGCCTCCACTATGCAGACCAAGCCTCCCCTATGCAAACCATGCCTCCGCTATGCAATAAACGAGCCTCCACCATACAGAACAGCTTTTTTACGTCTTGGTTTCTATCACTATGGGTTCAACTTCAATCACCTGATCTAACTCATCTAGTTAAGACTTGATCTTTTCTATTTTCTCTAATACTTTAAGTCCTTTTCCTCCTTTTTCTGCTGTGCCCACATGAATATTGCTCTTTTCTGACATTTTTCCACCAATCATCTCACAGAATTCCTTAGATACTAGAGTACCCTTCATTAGATTTCCTTTAACCACAAATGCTAAACCATAATTGTCGCGCTTGGATATCTTGCATTCAAAACAACCAGCAATGCAGTTAGAGAGACCCTTACTAAATTAAAATGTAAAAATTGTGCAATTTAAATTGTTTTTAATTTAATATTTAATCAAATATATATCTATCTATCTATCTATATCTATCTATCACATATGAGGTTTTACTGTCGTCTGTCTCTAACTTATCCATACTGTTCAAGTTCATGATTAAATCTTTTTCCCAACTCCTCTCTTCCTTTCTTACCTTGCCCTGAGGCTTTAAGGTATCTGTTGACTCGGAATTAAAAGGTTGGACATTTAAAAGACTTGAAACGTTTATTAATTCATCATCATTATTATTATTAAGAATTTCATCATCTCTAGAGTTGCCAGCTGTCCGCTGTTGGAACTCTCTACGGAAAAACCACATTCGATACTCCCTTCTTAATCACCTCCATAACATCCGATACTCCCTTCTTAATCACCTCCATAACATCCGCCTTGAATTTTTTTAATTTCTGCCGCTTGTCCACCTCTTTGATTTCTGTTGCCTTTTCCTCCATTATTCAGTCTCTCTACTTTGCAATCCTGCAACATGTTTCTTTTTTTGCCACAATTGTAACAGGAGAATTGCCCTACAGTTGGTATTTCTAGTCGGTTGGTACTTCTGTTCTTCCAGTTTAAATTATTCCTCCTCCATTCTTCAAATTCCCTGAAATTCCTCTTCAGATGACCAGTTTTCTTGCAGAGAAAACAGTGTTCTCCATACTGCATCGCGTTGACATCTCCATAACTTTGTTCCTTATCTGATTCATTTAACATCAAAACATCAGTCATTGCGTTTACTTCCATAGGATCTTGCCCTGTTTTCTTCATTTCATCCATTCTCGTGCTTTTTCCCTCTGTCTTAAAACTATATGAGCTCCTTAATTCTGCCAGATCATTGTCATGTTGATCAGCTGATGATCCAGTATTGCATTGATCTTGCTTTCACATTGCAGTACCCTAGGCACGAACTGCAAGCATGCGGTACCGTCCCATGATCATTGCATTCTTGAATTCTACCAGGCTTCTCTTGGCTGGACCATATGCTTGTATCCATAACCTTAACTTGTCAGTGTAATATTTCCTGGGATCTTCATTTCTTCCCTGTTTCCTGGCTGTGTATTCCTGTTTCCTGGCTGTGTATTCATGTTTCCTGGCTGTGTAATCCTGTTTCCCGGCTCTGTATTCCTGTTTCCTGGCTGTGTATTCCTGTTTCCTGGCTGTGTATTCCTATTTCCTGACTGTGTATTCATGTTTCTGGCCCTGTTTGTCTTTTTCTTGTGAGAATTTCTTCAACAGCTCCGTGAAAAACTCTCCTGTCTCATAGTTATCAAATGCTCTCTCTATATTTCTGAAATTTTTACCGTTTATTATTTTTATGTGTAAATGCGCAAGATTTTTCAAGCCAGTTATTTTCAGAATATTAATGTTTTAGAACGAGATAGATTTGTTCGACTTTTTCCTTATTTAGTTACATTGAGGCAAGTATTTTTGTTAATCACCCAGGTCTGGAAATACTTTTTTTATGTACAGGGCTGGTTAACTACTTGAGAGTTTGTCCGTCCGTTTTATAAGGATTATTTTCTTTAAAATTGTTTATAAATTATTTGCTGTATTGTACATTTTTATAAAGTAATGGGATCTATATGTTTTTAGATCAAATTCATACTTGATCAGTCTAAGCTTTTGAGGGTACCGTTAAAAATCGGGCATTGTCATATTTGCATAGAGGGTCACTAAAAATTACGCTTAGAGTCCCTTTAATTATATTATTTAGAGACACCCTGTGTATATATTAAGTTGGAAACTACAAGGAACCCAGAATTAAACTTTAATTTACTTTCAAAACAAGAAATCCGCGCAATATGATACAGAACACAGGATACAGGATACAGGATACAGGATACAGAACACAGGATACAGGATACAGGATACAGAATACAGAACACAGGATACAATTCATAGAAAACATCTTTTTCAATTTTCAATTTTGTTGTGTTCAAAATATTTTAGCAATCCGGTTGTATTCTTTATCTGCATTTCAATTCTATTGTTCAAACAAAGATTGAAAAAGAAAAGAAAATAAGAATACAGCAGGATGGATGGAAAGCATGGGTACAGGGTGTCTCACGAAACATGACATTTGAGTTTTGAATGCATCTTCTTCCATAAACAGTATTAGATATGAAAGACTTTTTTCATTTTTTTTCTTTTTAAAAATATTTTACATTGTAAAACAAATTTTACTATAAAATGACTACCATATAATATTCGTTATTATTCTCTTTGGTCTTACACACCCTAACGAACTATGGAATAAGATATTATAAACCATTAACCAGCTGTCATGTTGTAATATTCCAACATCAACCTCACTGTCCCATAATTTGAATATTTTTAATTAAATTCCAATAAAGAAATAAATTATGACTAAAAGATTGTGGGAAGTGTATCAAATATTGTCATTTACGGTAATCAAATTTCCCTGTATCACTTCAAAAGTAGGAAAGGGGCTCTCTTTGAAAAAAATCCTAAGCCCTCCCGAGGATGGGCGGATATTTGGTAATGTCAATTTGGTAATGTCAATTTGGTAATGACAATTTGGTAAGGTGACAAATTAGGTAACGACAATTTGGTAATGACAATTTGGTAAGCTCACAAAAGTGACAATTTGGTAATGACAAATTGGTAACTACAAAAAAGTGACAATTTGGTAATGACAATTTGGTAACGTCATAAAAGCGACAATTTGGTAAACGAAATAAAAGTGACAATTTGGTAATGATAAATTAGTAACAACAAAAAAGTGACAATTTGGTAATGACAATTTGGTAACGTCGTAAAAGTGACAATTTGGTAAACGAAATAAAAGTGACAAGATGTAAAATTGTTTAATTTTTAGTTTTATATTCAATTGAAGATAATTGATTCTAGGAATCTTTTATTTCTGCACAAAAGAAATGCGCCAAAAATAATTGTAAAATTCGCAATATTTTCTAAAAACCACGTTTGAACCTGTACTTGTGTCATATACTGCAAGAAGAGGATACTTGGATCATGAATTACTTATTCATCACCCCTTCTAGGGGTGGCAAAATGTTACAAGATTCAGAAGGATTTAAATTCTACAACAATAACGGACTTTATGTATGGCAATGTTAGGAAGTTATTAATGTTACTTTTTATGTAGTGCTTGGCCCTTAGCCCATCCTAGCCGCAGCGCTCGGCCCAGAAATTGTCTTAACCTAACCTAACCCAAAATAATGTAAGAAACAGCACATTATTTAACATTTAATAGCCCGCAGCGCTCAGCCCCCTAGCCCACCCTATAGCCGCAGCTCTCGGCCCATAAGTTGTCTTAACCTAAGCTAACTTAACCCAAAATATTGAGAGAGACAGCACATTATTTAACATTAAATAGGCTGCAGCACTCGGCCCCCTAGCCCATCCTAGCCGCAGCGCTCGGCCCAGAAATTGTCTTAACCTTACCTAACCCAAAATAATGAGAGAAACAGCACATTATTAAACTTTAAACAGGCCGCAGCGCTCGGCCCCCTAGCCCATCCTAGCTGCAGTGCTCGGCCCAGAAATTGTCTTAACCTAACCTAACCCTAAATAATGAGAGAAACAGCACATTATTAAACTTTTAATAGGCCGCAGCGCTCGGCCCCCTAGCCACTCCTGGCCGCAGCGCTCGGCCCAGAAATTGTCTTAACCTAACCTAACCCTAAATATTGAGAGAAACAGCACATTATTAAACTTTTAATAGGCCGCAGCACTCGGCCCAGAAATTGTCTTATCCTAACCTCACCCTAAATAATGTGATAAANGGCATTGTACATTTATGCATTTATATTCATGTGGGTATTTCTTGTGAAGTCAGATTTTATATTTTCTCAATTTTATTCTAAATTTAATAAGACTCTCTAGAGATTTATTTCATCTTTGAATTTATGGGGTTTTTTTTCCTTAATTCAATTAAATTCTTTTAAAACATATCATTTTAGATCTTGCTGAAATCATATTTCCGAAAGGAATGAGTTTACCTTAAATATAAGGTCCGGTATTTTGGGAGAAAATCAGTTTCAAAAACTATGATGACCAGTAATACTTTGATCATAAGGATTTGAAAGACTTTAGACATAACATGGCTTGTTAATGTTGTTAATGGTTATATAATTGCTTTACAAAAATATCATTAACGTTACGGATGCAGGTAATCATAAATGTAAGAATAAAGAATGAGGAAGTTCCGTACAGTCGTCTCTGAATTCTTATCTTTTTGGGTAGCCCTGTATGTTGGTGTTTAAGGTACTGCCTGAATAAAAATTGCGGTTGAACAACTGTTATTGTATTTACCATTTACCTGAGTTCGATTAAAAAGTCTTCCATGAGCGGGAGAAGTTTAATCCTGAGATCTGGAAACCGATCTAGCAATCCTAAACTCTCATTCACGATCCTAAACAAGACAGGGTTTAATCCTGAGATCTGGAAACCGATCTAGCAATCCTAAACTCTCATTCACGATCCTTAACAATACAGGGTTTAATCCTGAGATCTGAGATGAAATTTGAAAAGCTGAAACCAAAGTCTATTTACGTCCAAGTATAGACCAAGTGAAGACTCGAGGTTTAACTAGAATTAGTTTTAATTAAAACCGACTGAGTCGGTCTTATCTTTTATAAGACTTGGCCCTTATTTTGTAAAAACTGTTATATTTTACATTAAAACTCTAGATTTATAAAATAAACACACTCTGGAAATAATGTCTATACTTGAAGTTTAAGTTTTGAAATTTAAAGAGACTCGAGTCTCCACAAACGCTTGAGCTCACGGAGGTCGGGTTTAATTTTTATAATCTCAGCTCTGGAAACCGATCTAGTAATGATCCTTAACAATACAAGGTGTTAGCCCAGGTCCCTTCAAAGGGAATGTTTTCGTATCTGAAAAGAGAAGTTATCAAATTAATATTTCACTTTTAAACTTAAACAATTTCTGAGTAAAACAATCTTTCTCAGAGGATTCTGAATTTTTACCTTCTCCCCCTAACCTTCTCTTTCCCCTCCCCTCCCCCATCATACCGACCATATTTGGTTCTCTTGCATTTTACAAAATGTTGAATCAAGAATTTTATTTCAAATTTGAATGTCGTTTTCACTTTACCGTTCTACGAATTTGGTAAATTTAGTCATTTTCAGCTTGTAAGGCTAGCTTAATATGAGTCTATAGGTGGTGTTCGCCTGATTGTAATGTATACACATAGTAAGGGGTGCGCATTAGTAAAGTAAGTAAGTAAATAATCATTTATTTATGAAAAATAACAAAAACATACAAAATTAAGTCTTTAAGGAGAAAATATTTGAAAACCTTCAAAAATAAAGGTTGTGGGAATATTTCCCACCAATTCTAAAAAAATATAAAAAATAGAAATATAAGGAAAAAGAAAGTAAAGAAGAAGGAAAGTTACTTATTTATTGTTTACATTATATTTAATATAAACTGGTGTTGGATTGTTAGTATTTTTAGACGATGAACTATAAACAACTTTCAGAAATAAAAATGACAGATTTATTTGCAATGTTAAAAAACTAAAATAGGCTTTATGGGTTGTGAAGAATGTATAGGTTTTACGCATTTTTAACATCTTTTTAATTCGCGCCGATTTTTAACATACTTTATGTTTGAGTATATATTTTACTCTTTTTGATCTTTTTAGTCTTTTCTTTGTAAAATCGTCTTTGCTTTCTTAAATTCTGTTCTAACATAGCATGTGTTAGAATTTAGACATTTGTTCTACTGATAAAATCTTCAATTAAATTCTGTTTAGAATTCAAAATATGATTGATATTTAAAAGCTTTGAAAAGTGTATAGCATATATAGTATAATGTGTTTATACATTTTTTTAGGAATTTTGCAGTTTCAGGACTGCGGCAATGCCAACATATAAAATGTGCAAAATTGTCCATGATCAAATCCGTGACTGAAAGCTAAATCAAATTATGATTCAGTCAACACGAATGGGTTTACACCCTTTGATAATGGTAGATTTGAAAGATGTCAAAGTCTACAACAGTCAACGAGAATATTTAATACTTGTACTGAATCAATATGTATTTATAAGTGCAATGTAAGCAACCCTGTAAATGTTTTGATTATTTAGGAGCTGACTAATAATATGTTTGTGCACAATGAATGATGATGATTACAATATGAATAGTTTTTTCAACAAATACCGATCAGAACAAAATTAATAAATATTATTTTTTTTAGTTGGCTTATATTGTATATTTTATTTGATTGTTTTATGCTGAACCATCATAAATTGTCTTATTGTATTTTGTATTTGAAAATAAATACAATAGAGCTATGGAATTGGAAGACGACATTTTATTCATCCTTTGTGCACGTAATGTTGTTATACTAAAAATACTTGTCTTGAATTGTGTCTTGAATTGTACATGTGTCTTGAATTGTACATGTGGCTTGAATTGTACATTTGTCTTGAATTGTACATTTGTCTTGAATTGTACATGTGTCTATCCGTCGTCTTCCTATTCTGCAGTTTATAAGGTCTCACTGTATGATAAACAAATTTTACCTGTCAATGTCTGTAAGATGCATCAGTGTGACCTCTTTCTGTCTGTCAGCTTGATCAGGGGTCAGCTCAACCATATTCCTAATTTCAGACAATCTATTATTTTTTAAGTCCGAGTTAATTTATCAGTGAGGAATAACTTTCGATCACATTTCCCCATTAAATGTGGTCTTCTGTTCTTTCAACTTTTGTACTTTTGATTTTTTTCATTTTTTAATTTAAAAGTGGATTTGGTCCATTACATTCTTTTGGATGGCTAGTAAACAAAAATATTAAGTATTAGGTTAATTTTATAATTCAAAGGGACTGCTAGTGGAAAGTGACCCTTCAATTAAAAAAGAGTGACATGTCCAATTCCCGACAGAACCGTTGAAACTATAATTTTAGCAAAAATGTTCAAGATAACGTCGTTTTTCCAGATTGGAAAGTATTTAATTCTTTTAATCTCTCAATTGTCTCTGAAGCAAGAATTGCGCAAGTAATAATCAGTTTTCAAAAACATGCAATGTGAATCAGACATGCCAATCTGTTTATTACATGTACACTGTACAACCTTAATAACAAATAATTAACGGATTTCAAGTGACACAAAAATGTTCAAGCTTTTCAACGTAGAGAATACTTTCATACAACGTAAATTAAACTAGATAAAAGTGGGGACCACTGTATTGTACCTGTAGTGCTCAAGGGAGTGGTGGCGATCCTTATGAAGAGCTCGCAGCAGCTTCTCTAAAAAATTAGATATTTTTATTTTCTATACATAAAGTAGTAATCTCTGCTGCTATGTGTGTAAATCTGATTATTACAACTCATGAACCCGCTTTTAAATGTTCTTAAAACTTTTATTAGAGGAACTGTAAGCGTAATTTTAAGTGAGCCCACATGCAAAGATGGCAATGTCCGATTTACAACTGTACCCTTAAAACCTTTGTGTGTTCGTCGCGTGCAGAAATATGTGTGTGTAAACTTATCTGCACCATTCCGATGTGCATTGTGTTGGGTTAAACTGTACATAGGGTCACTTGAACTTACGCTTACAGACGCTAGTATAGGAGTTCGTTAGAGCCAAAAAATAATCGTTGAAATCTCCAGGGAAAGCTGGGTTTTCAAGCTAGAGTTGTTAATATTTTATGTTGCACCAGTTTTACTTATAACCTAGAATAAATAGATAGTTTTCAAGATAGATAGATTGGTTAATTGATTATAGTTGATATCTCTCAATACTTAAACAGAAGATAAAAACAAGATATTATTATACACACAACATCCTCAACTAAGCTTTTGGTGTTTTTTGTAGTTAACTGCAGTACCCGGACCAAACATATAGTAGCGTTTAGTGGAGAGGTGATATTAACGGTAGACAGCGTGTCATAAAATTCTGTTGAATCTCAAATGTTTCTGAGTTTACTGATTAAACAATAGAAATCACAATTAAGAAGTAAAAGCACTAATTTCACGTTTAATTGCAGTTTGTTCACAAATTTTGTAAACGGGACTGTTTAAAGGAAAACTACATCTTTTTCATGAGCCGTGAATCTTTTTCATGAAGAGACATGGGAAATTATAATGTTTTTTTCTGTTTTCATTATCATTAATTGCTTTTCATTATTAAAGCTGCATCACATTGTAATTCAGTATTTAGATATGTTTGCACATATTTACTAAAAGGTCTATTAATAAACATTATTTTAATTATCTAAAAATATAAACATCAAAAATTATTTCAAAATTATTATTCTGAAAGTTTTTGAGTTTACCTTGAAACAACCCTCTGCTGATGCATAGAGATTATCTGATCTTTTTCCCCTTCATGATCCTTCTCTAGTCCTTCTATCCGGTCCTAGGTAGTCATCAGTAGTCAGTAGTCAGGAGTCTGTAGTCTGTAGTCTGTAGTCTGTTTTGCAGTCTGTAGTCTGCAGTCTTTAGTCTGCAGTCTGCAGTCTGTAGTCTGTAGTCTGTAGTCTGCAGTCTGTAGTCTGTAGTCTGTAGTCTGTAGTCTGTAGTCTGTAGTATTTAGTCTGTAGTCTGTAGTCTGTAGTCTGTAGTCTGTAGTCTGTAGTCTGTAGTCTGTAGTCTGTAGTCTGTAGTCTGTAGTCTGCAGTCTGTACTCTGTAGTTTACAGTCTGTAGCTGATTTTTTTTCAGCTTGCAATTGAGTATTTTGGTGGTTTACCAAATGATTAAGCACAGAAATTATCCGGTTTTGGCCTACAAGGAAACCTGAATATAAGAAAATGGACTAAACAAATTTCGTTCAATCGTCTCTGAAGTCTCATCCTGTGGTGGTAACCAAATTTTGAGAACGATAATAAATTACTACTGTAAGAGTAACATTTAAAAGCTAAAATTGTTAAAAGACAAGCCATAATTTGGCTGTTTTTTGGTTACCCCTGCATGTTTACCTCAAACTGTTTTGTCATCTCGTGGTTTAGAGTTTCAGCGTCTTCTTTGCTGGTTTTAGCCAGGCTACTGTACTTATCCTCCATCCTACTCCACTCTTTCATCACCTAAACAACAACAACATCTGTACATTAACTATGTACACGCACACAAGAAGTACAATAATTATGATAAAATCTTTACCATAACTATGTCAAAATCTGTACAATAACTATGTACAAATTCTGTATAATAACTATGTTTAAAATCTGTACAAAGACTGTTTAAAATTCTTAACAATAACTCTGTCCGAAATCTGTTCAATAACTATGTTTAAATCTGTACAATAAATGTGTGCAAAATCTGTATACTATGTACGAAATCTGCACAATAACTATGTACAATATTCATTATTTTTATTCAAAACCTTTAAAATATCCCCTAACCCCCCCCCCTCACAACCCCTCAAACATTGTATATTCAGCAATAAAACAGTTTTGTATTCTCAAGTAGTAATATATTCTTTATATAATTTACGCAGATATATCAGACAGTCGCTGTCTTAGCTCTTCAGAGAACATTATTTAGGCAGGACCAATTTTGGGTTGTCGCCAGGCTTTTTCTCTTGGTTAAACCTTACTTAATCATTTAAACATTTTTTGTAGCTATAAATATTTCAAGTCTTAAAAAGTGTGTGTTTGTTCGTAACATTTCTAAATGTTGAAGAAGTATTTGCAATTTTTTAGCGTTAGATTATTAATATTTTGGATTAAATTAATAACGTACAAACAATTTGGTATTTGAAACAATTCATTAAATCGCTTTTTTATTTTGTACAGTTACTGATATGTATGCCATCTTTTGTTAAAAAAGTTTTAATTGTTTACAATCTTTATCAAATTACAAGCATACAAGTAATCAAAGAGAAGTTTTTTAAATCGAAAGCTTCTCTTAACTTCTATTTTTATGTTTATGCATGCTGTTTAACAGCTTGATATGAATCAAGATTGAAATCTTAAGTCGGCTTCATTGTATTGTTAAAATCGCCTACCACTGTATTAAAATAGTGAAGCTGTAATTGATGAATAAATAATGATGTTCCTCTGGCAAACCTAAGGCTGGAACTTTAGTATTTCTATTCCTTCAAAAAACACTAAACCGGTTTTTATTGGTCCGAAGGATAGAGGTAATTCCCTTTCAATAATCTCTAAATATTGTGATAGAAATATATGTGCTCGACTAATGAGTGATCATGATAATACAACTTGTTTGTTCACGGAATTTGGTCAAAATATCGAGTTAGGCATTGTAGATGAAAGCTATTTCATACAATATAAACAATTTAAATGAGCTCTCATAATGCATGATTTTAAATCACTAAAGAAATTGAGTCTTTGCTACCAGTACCAACTCAAATTTTCTAATCGTAATATATTTGCAGCCTTATGGGATAAACCTCAGATATTTCAAACTTATATTATTTGATCTAACAGAATTCATAGTTTGAAATATCTAAGGTCTATCACATCGGGTTGCAAAGATATAGAGATTTAAAAATTTGAGTTTGTGGTAAAGACTTAATTATTTTGATTACTATTTAGATATTAACCTTGGTCATCCTTTCCCTGTGCTTCCCATCGAGCCTCTCTAAGGCTCTGCTGAACTCTTTGTGCTCCTCACTAGGGGAGTAGTGGGTGAAGTAAGGATCAACACTATCTAGACAGAGAAGAAAGATATTAGATTTTGTTGAGCCCAATTCACAGCGCTGCCCTTTACCTAATTATTGGATTAACATTAGTAAGCAAGATATCACTATTTTTCTGTTATGAAAAGATATAAATTCTTTTAATTCATCTCATTTTCACTAATGCATGTGGCAGCAAATTTTAAGGATGGCAATCGAAAATAATAAATTATCAAATCTAACAATTTTTTTTGTTTAAAATGCGTCTAGTCTCCAGCCCTTTTAGATCACCTGAAATTGTTAAAAAACAGGAGACAGAATTTTTAGTTTTCTTTGAAACAAACAATCTTGCAAAGGAATACTCACGCGAATTTAACAGTTGGGTCCTTATCCCAGATAACTGTGACTTTTTATCACAATTTGACTGATTAAACATATTTCTTTCGCCTTTTTCTCTTTTATTCTTTTTTTTTGTTGGCGTATATATTTTAACGAAAAAGTAAAATAAGACAACTTCGTAAGTTTAAAGATTGTTACGTTATTGAATACAAATGTAAGAAACCGAATGCATCTCGCCCTGGTTAGTCCGCCTCAATTTTATAATCCTTAGAATTTTGCGCCTTGATAGACCTTTTAAAAAGTAGGATACTGCTAAATAATCAAAGTTTGAAATATCAAAACATTTCATAAAAAGATATCTATAGTTACTTTAAATACAGATGATTACAGTACAACAATCTAGAAGGATTACCAAATTTTAGTTTTTCCGCCTTTTTATTCTTCTCCTCAGTCTCTATTTCGTTTAATAGTTCATCAGTATTCACATCATCACCATCATCATCATCATTATCATATTCGTCATCATCGTCATCATCGTCATAGTACTCATCATCTTCCTCCTCCAGATAATCATCATCATAATATTCATCGTCAGCAGTCTTTACAGTCTGAAAAAATAATAATAATATTAATAATAATAATGATATTGTAATTATTACCGAAGGTGTGGTGGAAGCTGTAGGTTTCGTTGGAGGAGATTCTAGAAGAAAAAAAAATCATTTTAATTATAGTGTACTAAGCTTCTTTGGCGCTTCGCGCCCATCCTCTATTTTAACTTTCTGTGAGCATCTTGGTACAGTATAAAACTACAACAAATTTGGACCCGATCGGTGTAAGCGAATTATTGAAGTTTATTGGATACAAATAAAACAAAAAACAAAGTGTAAAGTGTGTAGAGTGTAGAGTGTAGAGTGTAGAGTGTAGAGTGTAGAGTGTAGAGTGTAGAGTATAGAGTGTCGAGTGTATATTGCTGCTGCGGATATAAAGATAAAATATTCTCTGCACAGTCGAAACCAATCCTTAACCTAGGCTTGGAAATGGGTTGGGAGAGGGCAGGGAGGAGTATAGGGTAAGGGGGGAAAGAGGCAAGAATGGGAAAAAGGGGTCTAAATTCGGAGGATTATTGATGTCCCAGGTGTCCATGGAGTTCCTGGAGCTCATTTAAATCTTTAAGTTTTAAAGGGTCCTACAGGTTGAGATCCTGGTATTCCCGGCGTTCCTGTAGCTTTTTATAACTGAGTTCGCAGAATTTCTGGAACTTCTTTAGTTTATTGAATTCCTGGGGGAACCTAAGCTTGATTAGTTTCTGACGATCCTAGAGTTACAGTTCTTAGAGTTCCCACAGTTTATGAATTTCTTGGAGTTCCTAGAGATCCTGGAGTTTCTAGAGATCCTGGAGTTCTTGGAATTCGTCCCTGGAGTTCCTAGAGTTGCTGGAGTGCCTGGACGGTCTGGAGTTCCTAGAGGCACTAGAGTAACAAAAGATCATGGAGTTCCTGGAGTTTCTATAGTTCCTGGCGAGTCTGGGGTTTCTTAAATTCCTGAAATTCCTAAAGTTCCAAGAGTTCATTATATCCTGGAGTTCCGTAGAAATCCAAGAATTCTGAAGGATCTCTCTAGTATCTCTAGCTCTCAAGTCTCAACATCTATTATCGTACTTTCCAATATGATATTAGGAAATTTGAGCCGTGTTGAGTAAGGTGAGTATAGACGAATTTACTCATGATTCTCTGATCGGTTGGCGGGGGTGGGGGTGGGAAGTTGGATAGGTGGAAAGTGGTAGTAGGAATAATGAATATTTATAAAATACTAGCTGAAGGGCCCGGCGTTGATCGTAAAACAAAATTTTTTTTTTAAAATATTGAGAAAAAAAATTTTGAAAAAAAATTTTAAAAGAAAAAAATATGGAGAAAAAAATACTTTTAAATTTTTTAGCTTTTGACACCCCCGCCCCATCTCCCATGAGTGTCCACAAAAAATGTCAGCCCAATCGGTCCAGCTATATGCATCATATATATATATACGAATGTCTTGTTTGATTATATAGATTACACTATCAATAAATAACTTATATTAGAAAAATGTTGTAAAAGATTGTAAAAGAAAAATTACCTAGCTCTTTAGTTAAAGTTTAAAACAGCCAGCCAAATCAATTCTACCCACAGGGCTAGTGCCTACTATTTGCATCAATCCTCTCATGCATCTAAATGGTTTGACCCATCGGGCTGTTACCTCCTTGTTAAATTTATCCTACCTATACATCTGAACGGTTTGACCCATCAAGCTTCTGCCTACGATATCCCTCCTATACATCTGAACAGTTTTATCCATAGGGCTGCTGCCTACTATATCCTACCTAATACATCTGCAGTTTGAACCATAGGGCTGCTGCCTACTATATTCTACCTAATACATCTACAGTTTGAACCATAGGGCTGCTGCCTACTATATCCTACCTATACATCTAAACAGTTTGAACCATAGCGCTGCTGCCTACCATTTCTTACCTATACATCTGAACAGTTTGAACCATAGGGCTTCTGCCTACTATATCCTACTTGTACAACTGAACGATTTTACCCATCAAGCTTCTGCCTACTATATCCTACCTATACATCTGAATGGTTTGACCCATCGGGCTGGTCCTTTGCACTTCAGATTCCCAGACTTGCACCATTTATCAATCTAAACAAAAACATAAAAACATGTGAGTTGTCTGACTGCATTGGTTATACAGTATTTTGAGATCAGAAATTCCTAAAAATCTAAATCCAGAGATCCTTGAACATTTTCCAATTCAGAACGCGGGAAAATTTTCCCACAAAGGATGAGACTGTAAAGACGACCTGAAACATTTTTAATGATACGATCCTAAGGTTAAATTAAGTCTTCTGCCTTGAACAAAGTCTTTTCTTGGCCTTTTTAATGATTTGGCAAAGAAAGAAACCAATTTACAGTTCAAGGGAATCATGAAAATAAGGAAACAGTCAGTATAAATTCAGTACAGTCGTCTCTAAGGTCTCATCCTATGTAGGTAATCCTATCTGTGCTCGAGATTTAAAGGGACTGTAAAGGAATAATGAAGGGGGATATATGCTGAAACCTGAGAATCTCAGGAGTTGATTGAGACATATAGAGTTCTATCTGATGTTCCTGTCTCGAGAAATTGACATACACTGTGTCAAAATCATACCAAAACATGTATATGTGAGATTTTATGTAAGATTCCTAGTATTAAACAGATCATATTCAACAAATACGCATCCAATTTGAAAACAACGATATTCCAAAGGAGCCGAGAGACTAAAGTTTGCTCCTATTATTATTTGAATTTGATCATTTTTATTTTCAATCGATATAATTGATAATATTATTTATGTGTCCGGAACATGTCACCAAAACTCCAACCAATGGCAGTGCAGTATTATTGTCACGTGTCTCCGTCAGTATACTGCACCGTCATTGGAGGGAGTTCTTGTCACGTGATAAGGACGTAGATCTAACATATATACGTTTTGGTATAATTTTTACACAGTTTTATGTAAAGTTCTCGAGACAGGAACATAAGATGGATGTATTATAGGTACCGTTCAACTCATGAGATTCTCAGGTTTCAACCAATACCCCCTTTCATTTTTCCTTTACAGTCAGTCTAATTCTTAAAATTCCCTCCAGTGGTGCAAGTCATTTTAAAGAGGAACCACAAATATAAAATAACCAATTTTCAAAAGAGAAATCATGGATATCTCATTTATATGAAGCTTTAAAGGACACATTCGTAAATCGTACTTAACATTCAATAAAAAAAGGTAAGTTGATACTACGCCTGCAGAGTACAGACCCTTTAATGAGTTATTTAAAATGAAAAAATGTTTGTTACGATCCGAGTTGAATGTTGCATCTTTCCGAATTTGTATGGACGCTATGTTCTTCGGTGTGAGTCGTTTTTAACAATTTTCTCCTTATAGACGCAACAGATAGAAGATTAGTAGCGATCAAAAGCGCTTAATTTTCGCCGTAAACCTATACCCCCTTTCATTTTTCGTGAACACTCCCTTTAATGTTTTATTTAAAATGAAAAATTGTTTGTTTAGATAAAAATTGTATTAAAACAATAATTACGGGAGATGCATTTAATTAATTAATTAATAAATTAATCTATTCAGATGTTTAATTTAAGTGCTCTACAAAGCTTCACAGAGACCCTCAATATGACAGGAGAGAGGAGGGAGGAGTTGAGAAATAGGGGGAGGTAGAGAGAAGTAAAATATTTTTATTTGTTGAACGTTTATAGTAAAAAACAAATGAATTTTTTTTAAATATTTGAAATTTGTATTGTAAACAATGTAAATTGAAGCTTTTTGTTCTGAATACAATATTCGTCAAAGCATTAAATAAAATGACACTTAAACGGGAGTGTATTTTAAGCGTAATTTCCAGTATCCCTTCATCCAAAAATGGCAATGCCTGTTTCACAACGGTACCCTTTAAAGCTTTGTCTGATCAAATATGAATAAGAAATCATTGTTTATAGTTTCAAAACTAATTTTTTCACTTGTGATTGAACCAGAAGACAGAAAACTCTAGTTGTCTTCTTTTTGAAGGTTGCAATTTTCAACTGAATTATTTGCAAAAAAGTGGCGGCCCTCAATATTTTAAGAGAAATATCAGCTGCAACAATTTTAACTTTCATTAGTAACATTTCCTAAGTAAAATGAAGAACAACGACGACATTAAAGGGAGTGTTCGCGAAAAATGAAAGGGGGTATAGGCTTAGTGCGATAAAAAAGCGCTTTTGATCGCTACTAATCTTAATTCTATCTGTTGCGTCTATANGAAGAAGAAGAAGAAGAAGAAGAAGAAGAAGAAGAAGAAGAAGAAGAAGAAGAAGAAGAAGAAGAAGAAGAAGAAGAAGAAGAAGAAGAAGAAGAAGAAGAAGAAGAAGAAGAAGAAGAAGAAGAAGAAGAAGAAGAAAAATTTTGATGATTACACTAATAATAATAATACCTGTTTTCGTCATGAATTTGTTCTGCATGGGTTTAAATTTCTCCCCTTTCCCTGGGCAGATCATAGCAACCATTGGTTCATAATGAGGACTAGGAGAACTCATCTAAACATCATACAATAAGAATTCAATTAATGTATTTTAACTAGCTCAAGTGCCCGACATTGCCCGTGGAATTTCGAATTTTGAAAAAAAAATCAAATTATTTTTAGTCTATGTTAGCCCTGGATACTCAAAGGTTTTCCTCAAAAGATTTTAAGCAATTTGGTCCAGACGTTTTGCTAGTTTTTTTTCCAAAGTTTGAAATATCAAAATATAGTGTTTAACAAATTAAGTGTTTAGTTTCTTTAAAAAGGTTATTTGAAAAGATTTACTCCACTATTCACAATGGTATCACTTCAAGCTTAATAATCGATCTTTATATGTTTTTTTCTAAAAAAAAAGAATTTCTGTAATTCTGGAAAAAAATGTCAATTTAAAAAAAATAAGAGTAGAATGCACTTTTAAGAATCGTTTCATGGGGCGTGAAACTTTATGTTTAGTATATTTAATAAAATGTGAAGTTTAAAAACTGAAATAGATAAATATATTTACAGATACAGATATAGATAGATATATAAATACACAATTCTTCTAAATCTATAATATATATATAAATTTATATATATACATAAAACTGAAATAGATATATATATCTAGATTCATGTCTAATCCCCTGTACTCGGAGGTTTTATGAGTAAAGTTTTTACAACTGGCTTTCACGTAGAGTATTTGTATATGATTGCAGAATATAAAGACATACTTCACATAGATCCAGACTTCTAGGATAGATTTTAACTCCCTTTTTTGTAACCCTAGACATGTACACTTTAGAACTATGAAGCACTTGTAGTAGACAGGTAGACAGGTAGACAGGAAGAAAAGTATACAGGTTGAAAGGTAAACAGGTAGACAGGTAGACAGGTAGACAGGTAGACAGGTAGACAGGTAGAAAGGTAGAAAGGTAGACAGGTAGACAGGTAGAAAGGTAGAAAGATAGACAGGTAGAAAGGTAGAAAGGTAGAAAGGTAGACAGGTAGACAGGTAGAAAGGTAGAAAGATAGACAGGTATAGACAGGTAGACAGGTAGAAAGGTAGAAAGGTAGACAAGTAGACAGGTAGAAAGGTAGAGAGTATTTTTACACAAAAATAAACAAAAACATTTATCTATTATTTGTTTAAAGAAAACCAATATTGATGTACGGACAATCTGAGAGAATCGGCTTTTGTTTAACTTTTAATGTCTGCTATTAACTGCATTTTATTAAGCTATAACACACTTCAAAGTCAAGAGGTCAATAATATCAATAATATTTCCATGTTATCAAAATATTGTGAAAAATTTCAAATGTTTAACTGCAGGGATACATCCTATAAAGGATAAGAATTTAATCAAGACTTAAAACTCTTTAAATATAAAATTGTCCAAAATATATCAAATGATTAAGAAACTATTGAATAGAAACTGCAAACCATAGATATTAGATAACAAGGTCAAAAATGTGTCTTTTAATTCTCATATGTTTGTAACCCTGTATGTTTGTTCATCATAATTCAAAGAAAAGCTCGATCTGTTTTTTTATAATTATGCATATCATCAATGGCAGGTGCTAAATGTTCAAGGTTACACACATACAGGATGATTCTTAAACCAAGGTTAAATTCGAACTTATACATTAAATTTTATATTTTTAAATACTAAGAAATGTTCTAGAAACGTTCTAAGGTGCTTTTAAATAACAGGTTAGTTAGTAAAGTTCTTCTTAGAAACATATCTACATGCTTGTACAAAGTACATCAAAGAGAGTTCCTATTTATATCGAATAAATAACCCTAGTAAATTTCGCATTAATTTTTCCTAAAAAATATCACTTCATTTACACAAAACAAACCATGAAGTACGTTGCTTAACCCTTTAAAAGGAACGAAAAAGTTCAGTTCTAAGGTAGTAGGGTAGGTCATTAAACAGGATATCGTGACTTGTATTTAATAAAAGCCCAAGGCGTTACGACTTTTCAAAGTCAACCCAGTCCTAAAAATTAATTAATCTTTTCTTAGCTGTCTGGATTTATTGGTAAGCTCGTGAGTAAAGGTTTAAGTCCAAACCAAACATTTTATTTTAATTGTATAATCCCCACATTTTAAACCTGGACGTAGATTGGATATTTAATATATTTAATCCTTTAAGTTCTAACACTTCCAAACTTCACCAGTAAATAGAATTAGAATCATTGTTGTTTGAAATACTAGATTTTAAAATATTGGTTTATTTACACTTTACAGATTTCCAGGCGTACAGACATGAAAGTTCAATTGTCATAATTAAGCAAAACAAAAATAGCATCTTCTATCTATATGTATTATGTATAAAGTTGTATAATCTCTGTTTGTTTGTTTGTAAGTCGGATCAAAACTTAGTACACGGGCAGCCGTAGTACATTTGAATTTCTTAGCTGGGTCAACCTTTTCGATCCCTGTTTGTACTGTATCTAGCTCTATGGACAGGACTAGCCGGTGCAACAAGGTTGACGCGGTAAGACTTTATGCTTCATAAAGGTTGAATTTACTTTTACTAAAGGGGCAGAGGTGCGTGAGTAACCCTTTGGTCAATTTGCTTTAAATGTTGATTAGGAACTTGGTAAAACCACGAGAATGTTCTTAA